TGCCTAGTTTCTGGTGAAAAGTCTTCGGCAACTGAGATATCTTTTCCCTTCAGTTTAGAGCAGTTTCTGAGTACATTAATTTTTTCACGGTGATCAATTAACCGGAGCACTACCGGTCTGTTTTTGTTTCGCCTCTTTTGTCCTATTCGGTGAATTCTTTCGACTGTTGACACCTTTACACCGAGCATGTTTTCAAATATTTCAGAAACCACCGAATTTGTTAGTGACTGGAATGTTTCATCAGGACGTTCCGGTAAACCGAACACAAGAAGATTATTGCGTCTGCTCCTGTCTTCGAGGTCGATCAGTTTGGTTTGTATGGTCTGGATAGTTGCCTCAAGGCTGGAAATTTTGCTTGTGAGTTCTGTAAATGCTGCTGTCGAATTTTCGACCTTGGATTCAATAGTGTCAAGCCTTGCTTGCATGGTTTTTTGACCATCAAGGATTTGGCGCAAAAGCTCCTCTGTGTTCGGCCCAGGGTTCGATTCCACATCACCACACATTATCAGCAATGAGCATACAACATCTTGAACAAAAAAGTACAACTTATTCAGACATGTGGGGCACGTCAGCTGGATGAAACAACGGTTGCTAGTTTTGACAATGGAGTAATTTTTACTAACCTGCATGAAATACAGGAAGGGGTTCATGTTTGCTGGGGAGCAGCCGACGTGCCCACTGAAGAAATTGCAGCTCGGTCCGTCTCTTATAGTCGGCCGCACTGATGACGTCGAACTGGGGGGTGGGTAGATCTGGTCAATGTGGCCGTCGAAGTAACAGTGGCCGTCGAAGCAACAAAGAAACCCATCTGCGCAGGCGCCTCCAGTTAAGTCTGTCGATGCGGTGCCGTGCGTTTTTCCATCTACAGATGCGCTGCTCAGTCCAGTCGAGCCGACGAGAACAATCTGCATGAAATACAGGAAGGGGTTCATGTTTGCTGGGGAGCAGCCGACGTGCCCACTGAAGAAATTGCAGCTCGGTCCGTCTCTTATAGTCGGCCGCACTGATGACGTCGAACTGGGGGGTGGGTAGATCTGGTCAATGTGGCCGTCGAAGTAACAGTGGCCGTCGAAGCAACAAAGAAACCCATCTGCGCAGGCGCCTCCAGTTAAGTCTGTCGATGCGGTGCCGTGCGTTTTTCCATCTACAGATGCGCTGCTCAGTCCAGTCGAGCCGACGAGAACAATCTGCATGAAATACAGGAAGGGGTTCATGTTTGCTGGGGAGCAGCCGACGTGCCCACACGTCGGCTGCTAATACTATTTATGATATTCTTTCTAACAAACAGTTCGGTTTCAGGCCCGGTTACTCAACTAAACTCACCATGATATCGCTAACAGAGGAAATTAAATATGCTATTGACAGCGGTAGTGTTGTTGGAGGCGTTTTTCTTGACCTTTCAAGAGCATTTGATTCTATTTCGCACGACATTTCATTTCAGAAACTAGAATCAATTGGTGTATCTGGCGTCCCACTAGAACTAATTCGTAACTATCTGCGTGATCCAGAACAGGTGGTATATGTGTCCGGTACCTTTTCCAACCCTAAAACCATAAACATCGGTGTTCCACAGGGTTCAATTTTGGGCCCGCTTTTATTTTTAATTTATATAAACGATCTTCCTCAATGTCTAGCACAGTTGTCCTGTATACTCTATGCGGACGATACCACTATATTAACTACAGATAAAGACGTTGACTCGATGTTGTTTAAACTAAATACCGACCTGATAAATATCGTTAAATGTTTCAATAAGAATAAACTAAACATAAATTCTAAAAGTCAAACTTCATTGTATTTTCGTCACCTAATCGAATTATACCTAGGAACCCCTCTGTCTTCGTAAGCGATACTCAAGTTCATTCTACCTCCAGTACAATGTTTCTCGGGGTCAAATTAGATGAACATTTAAAGTTTAATTCACATGTTTTAGAGCTTACGCGGAAAGCCGCATATGCCATTCGAATATTTCTAAAAGTTCGCCCGTTCTTTCGTTTTGAAATATTGTTGTCACTTTACTACGCTTTCTTTCACAGCAACATAATCTAGTGCATTTCATCATGGGGAAATACGTATGCCACTCATTTATCAGCCATCCAACATCTTCAAACCAAGCATTGAGAATAATAACGTTCAGTGGCTTCATGTCCAATGCATCATCCTTACTCTGTTCGCGTGGAATTTTATCAGTTCAGAAGCTGGCTAAATATTTTCTCGGTATTCTTATTTACAAATATGTGAATGGAAAACTTCCGATTCCTTTACTACACTCAAGTCAGTTTCTTCAGGCGTCATCGACTCGTTTTGCAAAGGCTAATAACTTCCTTTCACCCAAACCTAGGACTAATTATGGGAAGTTTACCACAAAATTTTCATCTGTTTCCCTGTGGAATTCTTTACCTTTGGAGATCAAAAATAGATCCCTCGAAATGTTTAAAAAAGGCTTGCGTTCGCACTTATTAAATTCCTAATGCATGATATTATATGAATTGAATATTATTGTATTTTTTTGTTAGTTTTTTGTGCTCGTCGGTACACCTTCTATAACTTATGTTCGCTATTTTGTGTTTATCTGTACATTTTGAATATCTTAATTTTTCTATCCTTACCGTAATAATGCTTGATATTTTACAGAGTGAATGTTATTGCATTTTCGTGTTAGTTTTTGCATGCTTAGCTGTACATTTTCTTATAACTTACGTTCGCTATTTCGTGCTTATCTGTACATTTTGTATACCTTAAGTTTTCTTTCCTTACCACTCTTTACTAATGCGTTGCATCTCTCATGTATAATTTTATAGGAGGTCTCACTCACAGTCTCGCGACTTTGAGACCTCCTTCTGTATTTGTACATAACACATGCACTTGTATCACTTGTATTTCAATTCTGAATAAATAAATAAATAAATAAATAAATAAATTCATTCAAAGAAATTCATACCAAAAAAACTGCAACGCAAGGGCGAGCGATACAAGCCTTCTATATACGAAATCATGATGATGATGATTTGTGGGGTTTAACGTCCCAAAACCACCATTTGATTATGAGAGACGCCGTAGTGGAGGGCTCCGGAAATTTTGACCACCTGGGGTTCTTTTTGCACCCAAATCTGAGTACACGGGCCTACAACATTTCCGCCTCCATCGGAAATGCAGCCGCCGCAGCCGGGAATCGAACCCGCGACCTGCGGGTCAGCAGCCGAGTGCTATATACGAAATAAAAAAAAATCAGGTTTAGGGCCTGCTTCTGTTACGCTTCAGTGAAGTACGATTTTTTAAGAAACGGTTGCGAGTGCTGTTTCTGCTATTGTAACCGACGTGGCCATGACCGTTGCGCGAAGGAATGAAAATGCAACTTCAATAAATGTCCAGATGGCAGTCAGCGATTGTCTTATTTTTGTGTTCTTACGCTATTCACACTGTTCTTTCAGGGCTAGACAAAGGCATGACTGTCAAGCATTCTTTTTAATATGACAACGATCATAAAAGATTCATCGACATTCTTTCATATCTTACAGTTGCAACAACACCATATCACAGGATATGGCCGGGTTCACAATTTTCTTCTCGCTGCACGTCTAGAAAGCCGTAAGAGAGGTGAACGCCATGCTTTCTAAACAAGCTACTTTTTTCTTTCACATTGATGCTGCTTAATCCACTACACCCCCAAAAGCACGTCTGAACTCATGAGCGCGTAACCTCTGCAACCTTCGCCACTGGCACATCGCATGGGTATGGACCCCGATTGGCCAGTGTGGTCAGTCAGCGAATTTTCAGGGCTACCTTGACTCTCATGGTATCCTTAAACGCCTCAGTGACGTCACTTACAAGAAATATTCAGATTGGGTAGATACGCTCCACTATGACCAGCGTCCAAGGCAGTAAGTTTAACATCTCATCTCGTGGTCAAAACTGTCACTTTCTAGCTGAAAGCAGGGATACACGCGTAAGAATTTCGCCTCATCTATTGCAATTCCCCCTCTGTGATGCCTTCTGGGTATCTATTAAATATCTGAATATCAATATAAAAAAACACCTTCTCTCAAAGTCTATCTGTGGCCTAACACTTATTAACATTTATTCGGAGACACACTTGGACAATCTCGAGTACCTAATTGCTTTCACCAGGGCGATAGCTTAAGTAGAGAATTAATTCTGTTACACCTACATACCTGACATCGACCTGGTTTGACGAGCTTACGAGTTCAATTACTCGCTGAAAAAAATGAAGTGGAAAGTGTTGAAACAGCATCGTATCAAGAATAATTACGTTGACAAGTTTCCAATGGCATAGCCCTTGACAGAATGTTTCTGATAGCAAAGGTCTTACTGAAAAAATCAGTTCAAGTGGACACAAACAACGAAGCTTTTCCTGTGTCGAAACGGTAAAAAAAAACTGCTCAGGCAATATTTATTTACGCCACAGAAAAACTTAGTTAACACAACAAATTTTTCTGTTCTATCCACTGTAATATTTCCTCGCTGGTCTAGCATTCAGAAAAAAAAAACGTTCGTTTCGTTACTAGATCTGGACTTTGTTGTTTATTTATTACCTAGCTTAAACAAGACCTTGCTCACAAGTTTCTCTTCTCGCAGATGAAGTTTAGCCTACAGTATTTATTTTCTTTCTTTCTGGACCAAATGTCAACGTCTTCGTGTAATACTTTTTGACCGATTTGGTTGGTTGGCCAGCGATATTTAGTATACGTCCAATTATGGTGACATGTGCTCACTGCTAATTTCTGTATTTAGGATATGTGCAGTATCTATCGTTAGACGCTAAGCTTCGTAAAGCCACTGGTCGCGGGACATTTTTCCGCTGTCGTATAGAACTGCGCAGAAAGCCGCCTCTGATGTATCTACCCATTGTTCAAATATTGCTTCGGTTTTAAAATACGTTGAATTTGCCGGAAAGCACAATACGCCAGGCACACGCCAAAAAAAAAATGAAAACATATACGAACCCCGCAACGAAATATATCTTTTACCTCCAAAGCAGGCTGCAACAAGGCTGTAGACCTTTATCATCCGCACCTAAAGAAACCAAAGATAGGTGTGCAGCAGCACAGCCACCATGAACATATGCACAGCACTGCACCTTTTATTTCTTGTTGTATTCTGCGACTCTTCAGGGAAAGGATATGATGGTGAGTGCCTCTAATATTCGAAATTTGTAGATTTTACTTGGGTTCCGGCATATTCTACAACGACGAAATGGGTGGCCTAATTTTTATTACCAGTTCTACTGCTTCACACTCGGAAAATATTCCATTTTCGACCAAAGCAACGTAACCCAGAGAAAAGATATCCGTAAACTAGTCATTTTAAAGCTAAGCGGATATTCAGTAAAATATTATATATGTAGTTCATGATGTTTTATACCACAATACCGCCCAATGGTTACTAGACACGTCGTAGTAGCACATTCCCAAATATTTATTGGTTTGGTTTATTTACCATACGCCTAAATTGGTCACACTGGTTTTGTTGTAATACGCTCCGTCGTGACGTGGCCTGTGAAATAGCAGTACAAACTACAACGTCGAGCTGATGTACCATGGAGGAAGAAAAGATTAATTTTAGCATATGGCCACTTAGGAGTTCAAATACTGAATAGTTCATAATGCAGGTGGATAGATGTTGATTAAGGTTCATTGGCAATCATGAAGACACTTGTGGGAAATATATAATGTTATATAAACGATGTCATTCTACTCACACAGATAAACTATGTGCAAGCAGACTGTATGATGATACTACATGAAAGTACACCTACTGGTGAGGAGTAACTCTGTAACCAAGTTCATCCTTGATGAAAAGCTGCAGGTGTGATCGAAGATCTTTTACTACATAGCTCATCAAAATACGTCGGTCGTAGAAATGTACAGTGATATTTACCAATCACAGTTGCTGGGTATTTGTAGGTCCCTTAATTATAATAGAAAAAAGCGGTGAAATGAAAAATGTTTGTTCTAAGGAAGTCCGATGGTTTGAAAAAAGCAGTAGATAGAAGTTCATTCCCTTTCTCAAACAAGAAACACTTTCCAGGCGTCATGTGTTTTACGGCGAACAGGAAAAGGAAACAACTAGATGAGAACAGAAAAAACTGTCCACAGAACATGGCTAGTTTTTTTTTTTTCCACTGATTGTGGTGAAAAATATGACGTCTCAGATACAACACCAACTAGCTCAACAGAGAGTTTTATAGAAGAAGCACCCCTATTCATTGTCCATGTTTGAGAAAAAGTATTTTTGTTCTTTACAACAGCTACTTCATCTTATAGGAACGTTTTGTTGTTCATCTGACGTGCTATAGTCGCGTTTTTTCTTTCGGCGACAAAATAATGTTCAGCTCAGAGAAGTGGAAATGGAGAGCTATTTTCGTGGTGACCGCTTCGTCAACATGTATGATCGGCCTCTCCTGATTGGCTGAAGTGTGCCGCCTCTAGCCAATCTTCCACAATGTAAATTCTTCAACAACGTAAATTTGACGCCACGCAGCTTTCACAACTTTCGACACAAAGTGAATGCGGCCCCCAGAAATCCGCAATTGAACGCACATCTCTGAAGCCTTATATGAACTCTAACCACGTTAGCCATCACGTTTAATGTGGTCGCCCTTCTGACGCCCCTGTAAGGTCGTTACACATCCACTGCATCTCTCTGAACATCCCAACACGTTCACAGCCACATCCAGACTTGTCTAGTTTGTCCTGTTCCTGTACATTTTGTCCACATAATTTATTTTCACGCTGCGTATGTGGTGGCAGCTTCGGTGCGTCGATGTGACCTAGAGCGCCATAACATCGCGAGTCACCGCATTTTTGCGCAACTGAACACGTTCCGGTGAACTGGACATGTCCGCGAATTGAACACCGCGAGGATAGCTCCCTTGGTGTCCGAGTCATAGGAAAAAAAAGATAAAAAGTTGGCCCCGTATCTACATGTTACACTGCAAATGTCGTCGAAAGACAATAGTCTTGCGTCTGGAGAAGGTGATCAAAACGTTTATTTGATGCTCTGCGCAAGAAAATTGGTGAATGATATGTTGGAGGTGCTGCGTTTAAGTTCCTTGAGCATGCAGCGGAGGCGAACGAGCGCATCAAGTCACGTCACACGTGAGACATGAGCGCTATCTGGCAGTGCGTGGGCACCGGCGTGCGCACTGGTCTCTGAGGTGGTAAGGAGTAGAACGCAAGGCGACGGGTCGTCTTAGCAAAGCGTTGAAAACACTGGCCATTTCCTGCGAGCGTTGTATGGTCAGCGCAGCGTGATAAACGCTGCGGTCCTTATAATTTCTTATGAATGCCTTTTCTAGTAAGGGACACACATACAGAATATTGACGTGTCGGTATGGTACCTCACATATGCGCTATAATTGCCTTTTAACTGACAATCGCACAAGTATGAACGCTGAACCTTGAGCAGTATTGGTGGGTGCTGCGAATGTGGTCGGCCGTTTAGAGTGTCGTTTAGTCACTTTGGTGCCGCTAAGGGTACCACCAAGGGTGAACAAACAGACAAAAGTACAGACAGATCAAAGTTTTTGCGTCAAAGGTCCCCAAGAAAGGCTATCGTCTTCAAAATTACTGGTGGTCAAGATACCGCCTCATGCGAATTGTGATGACAACTGAGTATTTTCGTTTTGCAATAACTTGAGGCCCGATTTTCTCGATAACTGAGACACGGCGGATGGCCGCGCTAGGACACGTTCCGCAAGAGCCACTGCAGAGAGGTCGTCGTGCACGGAGGGCTTTATTTCCATTTATGGTATCAGTTGCGCATGTCCCTACGATGACGTCATCGGCGACCGTGGTCTCGTCTCGTAACTGTCGTCGCGTCACTGTCGTTCCGTCATCCTGCGCTCTCCTCGCTCCCGTAGTCTTTTATTGTCCGCTGCATTCCACGTTTGCTGTTTTTAATCCTTGTTTGTTCAGTCGGTTACAATGACGCTGACGCACTGAACGCAAGAACGAATGCTTAACACCTGCTCTCTAAAAGGTGCTTGCTATTGGTGAACTGGCGCCCGGAAAACTAGACTAAGGCGTTCTACACACAGTGTCTTCACGACAAAAGCACTTCTTCTCCTAAGCCTTATGGGTGCGTTCATTATCTCGTGAAAGGGATGCGTTGAGCTATATCACAGGAAGCGGGAGTGGGCACAAAGCATCGCAATTGTCAATATAGTAGCCCAGTGGTTCTCATTAAGGAAAATTCCTTCAGGCAGTGTTTCTTTCACGCTAAATTGTCGTTGTTTGCTCGGCTAGTTACGACAACGCCGGTGCCACTGAACACTGAAACCGGTGCACAATTGCTGTGTCCTAATAAACAAGATGCAAGTAGAAAAAAAAACAAGAAGTGTTGCCAGTTCTGATAGCAAAAACAGGGTTGCAGGCGTTGCATTAAAAAGTGGAGAGAGGGAGACGCAAAATTATTTCGAAAAATCCAGCGAGTTATTCAGAAATTTTGGCAAATATTTTCGCTAGGTGTCGGCCACGAGCCTTTGAGTTTGGTAGCCGGCTGAGCAGTGCATTCTGCTTCTCCGTCTGGAGTCTCACCTCTGTCCCACTCCCATAACCTTTTTTCCTGATTTGCCCTGGCCCCGCGAAACTTGCCGTGCGGGTGGCGGCTAAAGCTCAGGGTTACAGAGATTGAAGATCACCGTATTTGGAAACGTTGTGGTCAGCAACTCTCACAACGTGGCCCTCTGCTTCTTGTTCAGTTTTTGGTGTAGTGGTGGAAATTTCCACCTGGCCAGTGTGTAATAGCACTGCGTGATGTTTCTAAAACTGCTGATGTGATCCTCCACTTCCATGTGGAGATAAAAAAAATATTATCCGCATATGCAGTGCTTCGCTGCGAGTGTGTCCCAAAAACGTTTGCCTTCTGCCAGGTTTTAATTTTGGGCGTAGTGTGGCTTTTCAGCGCAGCCTCAGAAACACTATAGGGTCTTCACAATTACGTATTTTTGTATTTTCTAATAAACAAAGTATCCACCACCTAATACTTGCGAAATTATTTTGTGCTTCAGATATGTGTACTTTTGCTTTTGATCGACATTGTTCAAAAGTATGCACGCGGCAAATAGTTCAAGATGGCTGGGTGTTTAGAAAGTGCTTAAACTTAGGTAACGTGACTGAATCGTGTGACAGACAGACAGACAGACAGACAGACAGACAGACAGACAGACAGACAGACAGACAGACAGACAGACAGACAGACAGACAGACAGACAGACAGACAGACAGAAAGACAGACAGACAGACACAAAAATGAAGTTTTCTCGTTCAAGTATACTGAGAAGTAGTGTCGTCGTTGATACGGCTAAATACAAAAACTATCCCACAATAGGTCCTAGAACTCTCGGTGGTTCCAGCGGCAGTCGTAATTCAACAATTTTTGATGACTTGGTGCAGTGGCTTTGCGGGTAGGGTACAAAAGACAGGAGCCAAGAATAATGTTTTATAAGAGGTAAATATTTAATAATGCAGTGTTTTATTGATTTGTGCATCAATTATTATTTCGATTTATTTATATGACCTGTCATACCCAGCATCATCAAAGGTCGCAGTAAGTTCCTAAAACAGTATACCACTAAACTCAGTACATACCAACACCATATATCCTATGAACAGAAAAGCCTGCTGAATGAGATCGGTATTGAAAGCACCTAATATAAAGTACGTTGGGAGTGTTTGCAGCCCTGTCTTTGTTAAAATAAATACCTACTAACTAGCTCAGCTCTATATTTTTTGTGGTATAAGTTGCTGTTTTAATGTTTATTTAATTGCTTCTTGTTGAAAAAAAACAACAACATTAGGGTCTATTGCTGCTGGAATTATTATGGTACGCTCTTTTGGAGAGTTCCAAAAATATGGAGAAATTGTACAAGCAAAAGCGTGGCCTTCTTTTAAAACGCACATGTGTTTATATCCATACACAATACTCCGAATCTATAGTTGCAGGTATAGGAGTGAAAAACTAAGTATTATAATTCACATGAGTGCGGACAAAAAGGCCAGCAGTAACGAATTGTAAGCGTCGCACAAAACAAGTGACGCAAATTGAATGTGCGGAAATTTTTTTGTAATTCCTTATATACAATTTCGATATTTGCTACGGAGGACAGAAACGAAAAAATTCCCGAAACAGAGTCATCTCACATCTTGCACATATGATCGTTGTACAAAGGCCCTCAATATGAATGGTATTTCATCTATTCTGAGAATATCTTGACACTGGTCCTTGACATTGCGTGCTCGGTTGAATGCTAATACAAAAACACCGGTGTTCTGTGGTTCCGTATTCTCAGTATCTACGAAAAGACATCACAGACTTTGATGGTGCCGACGTGGTACATCTTCCTGTGACCATTCAGTATAGTACAGCTGTGAGCATGAATCTGCCTGATAATTATTAGAAGGGGCAATCTGCTCGAAGTCAGAAAAAAAGCAGGCAAGTACACAGACGTAAGTTCAGAGCTGCAACGTTAAGAACATGCTAGAAAACGAGAAATAAATAGTTGTTAAAGGAAGTTCCAGGAGCAACGTGTAAATCACAATAAGAAACGTTGTTGCTGCGATCTCGCTGTGTTGTTATATTGCTGTGAGAGCAGGAAAAAACTCGATCCTCATGTGGAAATGGTAGTAAATATAGCTGTGTTGTCAGTTAGTTATATGTGGTGAAACGCAGTGCGATGTCGTTGTATACATGATTATGGTACTTAAGTACGTCTACTTAAGACACGTAGTAACCGCGGAGCTGAACCATGACAGCGAAGTAAATAGAGGAATAGAAATGTAGTGGAGTTCACTCGGCAAGTATTCTCAAATAACGAGTGGTAGATTGCCACAATCCTTCAAGTAGAAAGTGTATAGCAGCTGCATCTTACCGGTACTTACCAACGCAGCAGAAACCTGGAGGATTACAAAGACTGTTCAACTTATGTTGCGGGCGACGCAGCGAGCAATGGAAAAGGAAATGATAAGTGTAACCCTAAGGGACAAGAAGAGGGCAGAGTGTTTTAGGGAACAAACGGGTGTTAAACACATCACAGTCGAAATCAAGTGGAAGAAATGGTCATGGGCAGGGCTTGTTCCACGAAAGCAATATAACCGCCGGTCATTAAGAATCGCACATTGGATTCCAAGAGAAGACAAGCGGGTGAGCAAGAGACAGAAAGTTAGGTGGGTATATGAGATTAAGAAGTTTGCGAGTATAAAGTAAAGTGGCAAGCACATAAGCACGTGACAAATTTCACTGAGAGAACATGAAAGAGGCTTTTGTCCTGTAGTTCACCTAGGCAGGCTGATGATGATAATGATAGAGCTTGAACGTTGAGATTGTAAAATTGCTTTGTGAGCCGAAATTGCAGTTTGGAATACGATGTTGAATTTCACGCAGCACTTCGAAAGTGTTCTCGCCTCACAAGGGAAACAAAAATGCAGGTGCCAGCAGCTACCTGCATATCTACTAGAATTTGAGACAAATGTTTTAAGTTTTGTTGCTTAAGACTTCCTGTAGTTAGCGCACTAAACCTACCGTCTTACAATGTAGGGTCGATTGTTCATTGGTTCCATAAGATTTCTTACAGAAACGGAGCATTTAGTTTAGCTATGTCATGTACTCATGTAGCTTATTTTATAACCTGGTCATAGCAATGCGTCACCTTTAGTGGTCAATAGCTAATAGGGTTTGTTCATCCTGGATTGCGTTTAATAAAGTATAATACTGCCCACTTACTTTCAGAGTTGTAAACCCACTAAACCAGGTGCATTCCATAAAAATAACTTATCGCTCTCCTCTTCAAATTTGGTTGAGGTCACTGCAGCATCCATAAATGTGTCAGCACCACTGAAAACTTTAGCGCTGCAATGTGGTGCCAAATTTTCTTGTTTGACATGACACCCACGTCTCCGGAGCCTATGAACGCTTTCATTTTGAGCTTTATTAGGTGCTGTCTTAACTTCAACCAAAGAACTCCAGCCAAATACTACTGCAGTGGGTTCCCGAAAATGAAAATAAAGTGCTCATGGTACTAATGCAAGAAGCGCTGGTTCTTTCTTGTTGAGTGCGCGTCTGCGCCAAAGCACCGACGGCGCTGATCAGCGTCTGTGTATCTGAACACAACACGTTAGCTTCCTTCTTGCGGCGTGTAGGCGAATCGTATTGGCTTCTCACAGCCGTTGTCTAAACTCTGACATGCAATCATTTTCAAAGTCTGCAAACGAACAGTTTCGACCTTTTCCTATGCATGCAAAATCGAGCTGTCACCCTGTAAAACGGTCCAACCACGTTCGATCAAAGCGAATTTTCAAACGTTGTTCAACCACGTGGATCGAACATGGTTCAAACGTGGTTCAACGTGGATCACCTTCGATCGTGGTTCACGTTCGATCAAGTCTTTTCGAACTTCTATGTTGCATGGGGCAGTTATTGTTAAATTTTTTAAGTGATAGCGACACATGATGTAATCAGAAACTTCCAGAAATCGTGGTTCAGCAAGCTCACGCTACGCCTCGTAACAACCTTTGCTAATGATTTTCGAAGTAGGGTCTTCGCTGGCTCACACTTGGTCCATCGTGAATGCTATTCTTAGAAGCAACAAAACAATGGTCCCTTTGGAAACAATCAAATTTTAGCCATAGTACTTCTAGTGATGTCCTGTGATTTTGCAAAACGCACTCGTTTATGACCAATTTCGAAAGTAGACTGCAAAATTCGAAGATTTTTAACGTAGATAACTGGATTTAAAGGACAAATACACATGTACATGAAAAGCAGAGAGTCTTGAAGTTGCCATTTATTGCTGATGCTGATGCTGATGACCTCAGATGGATGGCGCTCACCCACAGAGGGGGATGGGCCAAGAACCGGAGGCAGGATACTTAAATGAAACTAAAATGAAATTAAAGCCAATCTCAAAAATTAGTTTAAAGATAATACTGCCACGGCGCAGAGCAAAATCTCACACTCCCCGTCAATCCTCGTTCTTCTCATCTTCTAGCACGTACAATGTCCACTGTTCTTAACATAGAGAGCAGCAAAAAGCCACTTAGACTACAAGGCGATTACTTATGAAAGAGGGAAGGGTGGCACGAAGCTTATAAAGGAAACTAACCAGGCCTTCTTCGGGGTATACATACAATATTTAAGGGGCAGCAAATCAGGAAGTTTCGTCTCCACCACTGCTTCTCACCCTGCCTGGAGCATAATTCGGAAATTCCGATGGCTGTGGGACGACTGGAATACACTGGGCGAGGTTAGTACACTGCGATTGAATTCTAAAGAATCATTCCAAAGTGGCTTCCGGCATTAAAAGGAGAGGTCAAAAAAGTGCGTGGGCTAGCGCAAGCTTGGGCAAGCAATGGCAACTATGCAAGCGGTGCGCTCACGTACCTTGAAGAATCCGTACCGCTATTGATAAAGCTTTTGGGGAACCCGCTGTGTTGCTACGTAGCGATTGGCACAGACTAGTTCCTTTGATTAATAGGCTCATATTTTTGTAAATTATACATGAGAGGAAAATAGCATTTGTGTTTCATATACAGCGGAAGCCCGTTGGAAAGGTCACACTTAATACCACGCTGTTTTAGGCATTGACTCCTATGTAGCGTATAAATTGATATCACCATCGAACTTCCAAACACTGGAGCAATGGCCAAGAAGTCTTTCTTGGCAAAATGAAGTGGGCCACCTTATAACGGTGACAAGTACAAGTTCAATTTTTAATTTTTATGCCCTTATATTCACGTAGAGGTAACTTTTTGGCATTGTATATATCAGTACTAATGTACTTCACTTATGAGGCTTAAACTGCTTATATTTAGCGCATGCCGAAGCCTAACAAAGTCATTTTATACGAAAGCGTAAACGTCCTGTTAATAAAGCCGGCGAGATTCCTCTTTAGCACTTAAAGATAGAAGACAAAAATTAGTGAAGTGGTTAAGAATCACAGCGGGAGATTGAAGAAAACGCAATTGCCTTTACCGCCTTCTGTACAAGGCCACTGGGTGATGGCTCAAGCCTTCTATAGGGAGGTTGAATACGAATCAGGTGTTTTACCATCGTACACCTAAACGTGTATATCCTCCCCGTCAAATACACTAGAACACGGCAGGATTCGGGCAATCGCTTCACAACGAAAGTGCGTGAAGGTAAGAAAAAATGGTGCTAGCCAATAAAAAAGATTCCACGGTTCTTTTTGGTCACCAACGCAGGAACCCTGTTAAGATCCGGGCTTTCTGCTTTCGTTGCTTCAGCGGGTCAGTATGCATGTCAAGGAAACCTACAATTTCGGAAGTCTGCGAGTAAAAAAAAAAGCGCTAAAATGACGGCACAAGAGTGTGCACAAGAAAGTACTCCATACAGTGTCTACTTTGTCGTCCCGTATATTTAGCGCTTTTTTATCCTAGTGAATGAACCAGGCAGCATAGTCAACCAAAAATTATAGCTTACAGCCGCCCAGAAGGTTTTACATTTGGGATATTTCAATATTGGAGCAAAATTATTTAAAGAACACATACGGGATGACGTAATTGTATGGTACATAAAAGCGCGTTTTAAATTACATAACCAACATGCATTTCCAAATGAAGCTATCAATGTACCTTTCGTGTTTATGCTCCCAGCTTATCTGTAAACTTCGTTTCAGATTCTTCTTTTTTAGACCATAGATGCCTGATACCATACAGAGCTCCGAAACGACCATTTTTTCATTGTCGCACCCGCGGCTGGTACTTTGACAACAGCACGAGACAATGCGTACCAAGTTGCAAGCCGGCACCCTTTCTGACTCAACTGGAGTGCATAGGAGTATGCCGAAGCGGTGAGATTGTTCTCTTATTTTTTTATTATTATAGTGTATTTAACAGTCTCTTTTCTCGGAACTGGATACCAGCTACACAGCCACCTTTAGTTGTACAAGAACAAGCCGTGACTAAAACGTAACTCAGTTTATGAAGTGGTTCTTTAACTCGTAGAGCGCGTCATGGTTAAGAAACAATGGCCAAGCAGGCACACACGAGAAACAGAGCACTCCGTCCTACTAGGCCGATATACTTTGCCACTTCTTCTATACTATATAAAGCGCTGTACCTGTTCAAATACGATGGTCCATATCGATCAATCTTCAACAGTTCTAATGAAATGGGTTATTTAGGTAAGACTTATAAATTTATTCAACTTGATCTCATGCAGTGTTTAGGCGGAAAAGGCGCAGTGCTGTGACAGCTGATGTGGCAGTTTAGTTTTTGTTAGAGGTCTTCGGCCAGCTGAGGCCATCTTGTTCAAATTGTTGCTGAAGCTCCTGGAGCAGAAAGCTGATCTCAGAATAGGTGAGAACTTGCCTCCGCAAATCATTCTTTAATTTTTACGGGCGACATTGTCGATGACACCTGAAGTGGTTCTGTGAAACTTGATTCGACAAACACTGTTATAGCATGTTTAATTGAGCTACATGTGGCACTTCCGTTGTTTTGTAACAGCGGAGCAGTGAAGGAGAGGGACGGGCTGTTGGTGAAAAGCTAAGCCCATGTTAAAAGGCTGCATTTACATACAAAAACGAAGCACTTGTGTTACTTACTTATAATAACTACTTTAGATTATTTTGTGCAATTTTCGCGGGCTTGTTGCTGAGCCACTTAGCTCATTACTTCAGAAAAATCGGTAAGGGGCAAAATAAGTGAAGAATTAAAAGGAGAGATACACCCATGTTGGGGAATTCGTGTCTTCTATTGTTCCACATCTTTTTTACACAAGCAGTTTTCCTTTATCGCACCTAATTCCGTATCCCACACTTAAATTATTATTTACATAAAGTTGGTCTAAAGGCATCACCTTTATGTCAGGTTTGCGAAGAAATTGAAATGATAGATCATTTCTTTTATTCTGTCGCCGATATTCTTATAAGCGGAAAAGATACCTGGTAGCTCCACTTCAAGAATTAGAATTAGAATTGTATGTTCCTCTAACGTGGATATCCTCGGCACATGTTGGATTTCGTGTTCTTTAATGGCAATGTATAACCTATGATTTGCATGTCCATTTGTAATTCTGGCTTTTTTTCTGTTTTCAATCATTATGAATTGGTGTAAACAAATACTTGTTTTCATATGGCTTTCCTGCTATAATCTCTGATGAGATTGGCAGTTAAATAAATAAATAAATGTGCCAGTAATTTTATCATTTGGCAGCTATAAATTATGTTATGGCCACAGGAACGTGTGCTCTGGAGTATTTCATTAGATATTTGAAACAAAGCGACTGCCATGCTAGTGTGCCTGTTTTATATCATTCGTTTGGGACCAATCACTACCTCTGTCTCAAATCACAGCTTATGTCCTGCATCTTACCTCAGATATACTCCTTTTTCGAATAACGGTTTCTCTTTCTCTCTCTCTCTCTTTCCATATCTTTCCATATATATATATATATATATATATATATATATATATATATATATATATATATATATATATATATATATATATATATATATATAAGCGTAAGAAGTGTATATGTAAGGGCAAGTTTTTTCATGTTTTGACACAATAATAATGAGATCTAACAGACAATGATGCCAAGTAATGTATAGGGGAAGCTATTTGAACAAATGTAATGTACATAGGAAGAAAGAAAAGTGGGTGAGAAAATAACCTGCCGTGGGCAGGAATCGAACCTAACAACTTCGAATAACGCATTCGATGCTCTTTCAAGTTCGTAGGTTCGATTTTTGCTCACGGCAGGTTATTTTTCACCCACTTTTCTTTCTGTGGCTGAGACCACCTTGTTCAAACTATTGTTCAATATATATATATATATATATATATATATATATATATATATATATATATATATATATATATATTAGTTTAAAACTACTTTGTGTTGTTTCTAAACTGTTAAGACTTAACTAAAATCCTGCCACACGGTTTTTGGCCGATCCCCCTTTGTGGGTGTGCGCCAGTATAACATGCATCATCATCGTCATCATCATCATCAATCTTTCTTATCAATGATTCTTCGGCACACTATTATGGGCTATTTGATCATGTGGAATCTTTTCTGTTACATATATAAAAAATTGAGCTTAGGCACTACTGGATTGACCGAAACTTTGCATATACAATTCTACCTTTTGTAATTGCATCTGATTTGTGTAAGGGCTGCAAGAGCTAATAATAATAAATAATAATGAAATACTGTGTAGTTCTGAATAATTCACGTGCAACCGTCATGTCCTTTACTGAGAGTGGTAGTTTTGGGGAGGACTCAATAAAGAAGAAAGGAAGGTGAAAGTGGCTGCTTGCAACGAGGAATCCGTAATCAAGGGGTCTTTGCCGAGACGACGTTTGCACGCGCCTCCTATTTACGAATCATCCCTAATAAATAAAATCTCAGGTTGAACTTGCTCATCATGTCTGCACTTGAAGGGTGGCATCAAGTGTAATTGTTTTGTAAACATTTTACATGTGCAGTTGAATCATGCGGTTTCCCGGTGGAAGGTTCCCTGTGCTTGTTCGAAGTATTTTCGGTGTACGCCTACGATCCCATCACGAGAAATTGCTTCATGACGTACGACTGCTCTATGTTCGGAAACAAGTTTCGTACTTACAAAGAATGTCGAAGCACTTGCGTAGGAGGTGAGTGTGTACTTATGCATGACACCATAAATTGAATTCATGAGCACATTTCTTTCCTGCATAGCAGTTTCAGGAGTGGTTTCACCGGATGTCTTGTGAGTGGTTCACTAGTAAGTTACGATGATTTGTAGTATACTGAATATAATGTTTATCCATCGGTGCAATCTAACATATTTTTAGGTAGTATCACAACTAAAATTCGAACGCAAGGAGGATGAAGATCTCCGCGGAGCTTTGCTATTTATATGTTGCTGGGAATCTCTAACGGCTGCAAAAATACCCTTGTAGTTAACGTGAAAGAACGGTGGTGGAGCACGCGCAGATGCAATTTAGCCGCTATATACAGGAGATCGCTGAATTCTTCACTTTGCCTGAAGGCCTTCCTTTCCAGCCACTGCATACGACGGCGTTAGAATTCAGCAACAGGTCGCGGGATCGAATCTCGGCTGTGGTGGCTGCATTTCTAATGGAGGCGGAAATGTCGTAGGCCCGTGTGCTCAGATTTGGGTGCACGCTAAAGAATCACAGGTGGTCAAAATTCTCGGAGCCCTCCAATACGGCGTCTCTCATAATCATATGGTGGTTTTGGGACGTTAAACCCCACATATCAATCAATCACTAGAATTCAGCAACTAGGTCCTAAAAGTGTCTAGTAGCGCCGCTTAGGCACGTACTTTTGGCAGCATAGTTAACATGGTTGTTAGACTTTCAAACTACACTGTGCCACTTCTTATCAATCAGGTCTCGTTTTCAGTGCTCTCTCTTAGACAATTTTTGTATAGTACCAGATAACAATCTGTGATGATGCGCGAGTGCTCTGCAGCGGAAATAAAAGAAAAAAAGTCACAGCTTTCCCGCAAAGGCGAAGCAACGAACGCGACAGCAACAAATTGGAAAGTCACGCGCAGAATAGAGAGCAGATCGAAATGCGCCCCGCGTTTTTCACTCACAAATGACGCACAAAACGGACTCACACATACAGGTGAACGCGAATAAGCGTCTCAGTTGTTACTTCGTTGTGTCTAAAAACGCGCCCTTTTCTCAAACTGCAGCTGTGCAACAATTGCAGTGACCTTTGTGCGCCTGATAACAACAACAGAATTATACCGGCGAAACCCCAAGTCTAGCCAATGCGTACGACCTTACCAAGATAAAGGTGCACGATTGAGCGTACACCCACTTATTTTTTAAGTGGGCCAAAGTACGCGTGAGAGATGAGAGCCACCACGCGCTCACTGCGTCATCTTGCTGATAATGCTGAAAACACGATACTCCCCCCCCCCCCCGAGATCCCCGCCAACAGTGGTAGTGGAGATACAAATAGCCTACCGTTTCACCAACTAATTAGTTACTTTACGGTGGCTCACTGGTTAACTCCTTGCATTCACGACGCGACGTTCGAATCTGTGCGCCGGAGACTTTTTCTTTCTGGGTTTTTTTTTGTTTCTTCTGTTTTCATATATTTAGACACATATACATATACGATGCATGACATCGACGCTGATGCCGGCAGCGGAATCCAGCCGAGAGTGTCCATATAATTGCTATCTCAATAAAAAAAAACGGTGCAGTAACTACCATGCGAAACAGCTGCGCACTGAATCAACCCTTGTACAATTGGCCCAGATATGTGGCAATGTACCTGTTAAAGATGTACACAATAAATTTCGGAGCTCGGCACACAAGTGTATGCTATTATGTTAAAAAGCGGTACATTCAGCGAAATCTGTGGATAAATACGCAAGATTTCCCGATCAAACAAAAAGAAAAGGCCATTTGCTATATGATGCCATAACGTTCGGTCGCACATATCCACGCATCAAACAGTGCAGAATGACGCAGAAGTTTAAGAGGCTGCCGAATGTGTCTATGGTATGAAGCATTACCTACTTTGGCTAACATGCATATTGATCTGCATACATTCATTCACATATATTTGGATACTTTTAATTAAAAGCAACTTTTTTTTCTCTCCCATATTACGAGGTTTTAGCAATGCATCACTTCAAGCTGTCTATATTTATTCACACCAAAACTTCCGCATATGTTATTTGTTTCAATCCGACGGCTTTTCTACAAATACGTTCATTCAGCCCACAAACTTTGTCACAGCGCTTCTTTGTTTTTGTATTGGTACACTTTATCGTCCAAAGCTTGTTCTCAAAAAAAATTCTACATCATGCAGGACAATACGAAGCACTCACTCAGAAAATAGACTATGATTCTCTTCTGGCTTCCAGTCAACAAAGATTTATAGGCCATCCATCTCAGTCACAGATTCAAATAAATGGCACCAGAGTCGGGATTTCTCAACTGCCAAATGGTGAGTAAACACATTTTTATCCACTGTATTGTAGCATTTTATTTGATGAAATTATAGATATATTTCATGTTTCACCTTGTAAATTAACAACGCTTAAATTCAAAACCGTATACCAGATAAAGAGAACAGAGGAAGCACTAATAAATACCCCGCAACTCTGGCTGACGTTGCCACAGCATATCGCATAAAGCATATGTCCAAATTTAATTATTGCGAGGAAGACATGGTGTATACATAAAAAAACATAGCACCCACGGGAGACCTACATTTTCGTACTTAGCGCATTATGCATCATGGGAGACACAGGGTGCGTTAGCTTTCATTGCGAAAGAGAGAACCTTCTGGATTCATTGCCGAAAATATAGCTGCAGAAGTTGGTTTAATGACTCGGTGGTGATTTTGTGCCAAGGAAAAGACATGAAAAGAAAGTAGTTCAGGCTTTTATTATCAGATAGAAGAGACATGCTCATGCTTACAGCCTTCGGTTTATTATTGTCGATGGTTCATTTATGTCTATGGTTCATTATTGTCAATGGCGCTTCACTAGCACCAGCTTGTCACAAGTGCGATTTGGCATCCGTTCATTAAGATATATTTTCGTCGGGGTAGCATCTCTGTGACAAAACAAATAACCTCCTTATGCGCATCTGTGTAACAATGGTTTTATTAGTTAAAAGATTAGACTTGAGTGCGCGCACACTCAGTACATTTCAGCTCAATGGGAATATTTATACTGGCGAACAGATTGCTCCAATCTTTCACTGAGAGTAGTCGGAGGAACATATTGGTCTACGATTAGACCTAGATGTTCGTTCGTAAGAGGTAAAAGTAGGATCACCTATTCAGCTCGTTAGTACTACAGGCAAAAAAATATACTTTGGACATTACTTCGTTTTTTATGTTAGACAGCCTCTAGTAACAGATAACGCTGCGTTACACTGTTATTTAAGACGTACATTTCATCATGCGTAACCTTTCTTGCTTCGTTACACTATTTGGCATTGACATCTCTAAAGTTTGCGATGGCTTGTGAGATAGATAGTCACGTGACAACACTTTATATAGAGCATATTGTGAATTTTTCAGTATGCTTATAATAAGCCATACAAACGACAAACTGGAGACCGTGAGTTTCGTGGCTTGAATTATGCAGGTCCCGAACAAATTCCTGGAAGCACCCAGGTACCAGGCTCTAATGAAAGCTGGAATGGTTCTCAACAACAGCAAACAATGTCGTCACAGTCCACTTCAACTACAGGGACCGGAACAGCAATCGGTGCGGTTGGAAACGGTGAGTGTGCTGTTTCTACATCTAGACTCTTTCATTGGACAAAGCCTTGAACCATCAAATGTTAGTTTCGGAAGGATGGGGGGAAACTATCATTGCAGAAGTTTGAACCTAGACATTTTGTTGCCACAATATAGGAAGTTTGGTTTATTTGGGTTTTCTTATATTTTTTCCGGGTTCCTGAAGTTGTTGTCATTTCATTGAAAACAAAAGACAGGAAACCACGTGTCAATGCGAAGAATAATAATATTCAAGATCCCTTTGATCACCAAAAAGTAAGGGCTATTGAAGTTCGGCGTGTGCGTGCCTAACCTGCCATTTCTTTTTCTTTTTTTCTTCTTTTTTCTTTCTTTTTTTCTTTCTATTTTTTGTTCTATGCACCTCCCTACACTTTAGTTCTTCCAGGCGGAATGTTAGACCTTTGACCATGTTCTCTTCTGTTACACTTCTGTTAAAACAGTTATCAGCTACGGTCACGCATAAACTACTGAAATAGAACAACTAGATAGAACAATGAGGTGCAGCAACGCGAAATGAGAAGTGACCTAAAAATCATAATTGCATATGACCTATAAGAACTGAATGGAAAAAACATCAATTATTGAAAAATTATTCAGTCAACTGCACTAGTGACGGCCATACTTTTGAGGGCCGAATTCGTGTACGCCCACATTTCTGACACACTCTCGCAACAGTTTTTTTTTTGCCAATTATGCTACCACCATCGAGACCTCTCACCCATGAAAGCTTTGCTGAATGTCTAAAGAAGGCAACGAAATATCGGTCATGTGGCACAATTGTTTGCATTTACATAGGTCTATCTTGAAGGTGATAGCCCTCATATCTCTTAGTATGGGAGAAGCACGTCATAAGTCTTCAATATCAATTTTACCGTGCCACCAATACGCATGAGTCATTCAGTATTAAAGTCGACGACATAAAAATATATAGGGTTAGAAGGAAGCACTATGGAGCCAAAAAGAAAGGGTATATCAGCTTTACCAACGTGAAACCTTGGAAGGGGCAGTGTATGCAGTGTATGTTGTGTGTGCAAAAGTATGCAGTGTGTGCTGGCGTTTCTCACTTCAATATCTTCACTTCAGTCAATTGAACTGTACTGTATAAATTTTTAGTTATTTTGTATACCTTTTTTTAACCACGAAATGCGATTGCATAGAAGCATCATGCATCTGTCAAATAATCTCGAATGTTTGCACTTGTGTCCGTCTAGTACATCATCCTAAGTGTAGGTCTTTTAAACAGAGCGCAATAAGGCAACAATAGCTATTAACTCACCCAAGCAAGTACACTGAGGAGTTCACATCCTGTGCACACTTTTTTACGTCTTCATCTTTGGTGTTGAACCAGTTATGCGCGTATTCCAACTAGCGCAACTTTCACTTCTACAACAATGTGTATTCTATGCGCAGTTATGCCGAGCATTATCTCTTAAAGAAAACAATCTCTATATGCTTGCAAAAGTTCAACAGCAGGGAGGCCAGGCATCAGCAGCGTCCCAGGTTTCAAGTGCAATTGGAAGTGGCCTGAGTCAAGCTAATACATCACAGACAAGCCTTGGCGGAGGAGTTGTCCTCCCAAAACCTGATGGTGAGCGAAATGTCCAAGTTACTGTGCAGTTTTCAGAAGCGTAAGTTCGCGATTGACATCTAAGTGACGCGTTTCTAAGTGACGCGTAAGCCTGCCTAACAGGTAGGCTACACCAGTAAAAACAACAAAAGGTGATGCTGATGCTGATTAGACATGAGTTAGATATGAGTTAGACATGTTTTTGAGTGGACGGTATTGAATATTTAATAGAAAAATAACGTACGTTAAATGAATGGAGTTCAATTGGCTTTTTCTTCCTTTCAGGCCAGACAGTACAGTCATTATCTTGACTAAAATAACAACAGTTAAAATATTTCATACAAATGTTATCAAAGTAAAAGCGATAACTATTTTTTTCATGTTGAAATATTGCTGCGCTAATATGACACAATTAGCCAGTTTGAAAGAACATTGCTGCTACTTTTTCCGATGGTTTGTTCTTCTTTCCCACGTTTACAGCACCGGCGGGTCACTCTGTCAGTAAGACGGCGATAAAGAGTTGAAAACGTCGGGCTGTTGTCGTGCTGAGTGAAATACACGAATGAGTAACGATGCATGAGAACCGTACAGCTGGTGTGCAATTCAAGCACTCGAAAACATAACTTGCCATTTCTGAGACCAGATGAATAGGCATGGTCTGTATTGCGATACCACTCATGATTTGGACATTTTGTACCACCGCTTCTTGCGCAGGATTTGATAATATGTATATTTACCGCCATACGTTTCAATATCTCCATCTTTGACTATTCCTGACCACCTTCTCCAAATAGTGAGTGGACGTAAAATGGCTACCCGCAAACTTGACAAGTATGCAGAAGACATGGACGAGCACCGGCTGCACAGCTCGCAATGTATTAGGTTATATGATTAGTGATCTCACAGCATGCTAAAGACATAAGAAACACGCAATACATTCCTTTCACATCTTCGGTGGATTATAGCAGCCCTTCCCACTCCGCCATTGAAAATTTTGTACCTTACAAAGATTTCATAACCTCTGGGATAAGCTCACCAACAGCGTAAGACTACGTCACTGGATGAAGTCTTGCTCAAATGCATGATGAGTTATTAAATGAGTCAATATGATGTAATGATGGCGTTCAATACTGGCACCATTATGTGGCGGCATCGTAGAAGTATCGTGATTTATCGGACTGAGCTTCGCAATATCTCCCGAAATTTCACACAGCTAGGCCTCGTTGGCCGAGCTCGAACATACCACTAAAGGACAAATTTGGCGTCTGCATGTCTCCCTCAGATGAAGAAAACAGACAATTTTGAAATCGACTTTTAACAGGAAAAATACACAGTAGTAATAAAGCAAATAGGAAAATTACTGACCTGCGCGCGCTCAGAAATACTAGTGCAACCCGTCAATCATGAACACGTGTGGACACGCCCACAATAAATTACGTTTAGACATGGCGTTTCCTTGCTGTTTCAGACAATAGAATGTCGACTGAAGCATGTAATCATCGTGGCTTTTAAAATTTAATAACCATCTATCACACGTGTTCAGTAATATAAGTGAATATAAAATTCAGTGATAATAATCTTCTGGAGATGCTTTCACTTTTTTTTAAATGTGAAACTCTTCCCATACTTGTCATAATTGAAAACTTTGAAGCGCACAAAAAACGGATGTACAGAAGAGGCTGACAAGGACAGCGCTTGCTCTCACAACTGAAGGTTTATTATTATTACTATCTCACCTTAGAAGGACCGCCTTAGAGAACATCGCGCATCTGTTAGGGCATCAGGCAACAGTTATCTTGCAGATCACTGTAAATACGCGGATATTATCCTGTGTTTAAAGAAGCAAAAATATTATTTAGACACAAGGATCAGCTAACACGCGAAATAGTGGAATCTTATTACCTCCGAAAGAAGGAACATGACTGTGTTAGCCATGCTACGATTGTGCTGCATGATAAAAAGTACGCGTATCTCGATACCTAGTACTTGTAAAATATAATAAATGACACATAATATGTAGAATTTTTGTAATCCTGACAAGAGTGGTTTCTGTTGCACCCTGTTCTGATGCACATGTGCGAATGACCATGTATCCGCTTTAAATACCTTTTCTGAATAATAAACCTTCAGTTGTGAGAGCAAGTGCTGTCCTTATCAGTCTCTTCTGTCCATTTGTTTTTTAGTGCACTATAACAAAGTTTTCAATTACGAACGTAATCCAACTGGCGCAACTTGCCATCTTGCTGCCACAAATTGTCGTTCAGCTTTGGTCTACTTTTTTCGTATTGCAAAAAAAGATCGAAATTCTCACTCAAGGACACATAGCTGACAATTCCTAGTTTTTTTTATATTTCAATTTAAATGGTTTTTTAGTAAATACTGCACTCTGTGAATCTGCTAGTGACATTTCGCGCACAGTAAAGTAATATGTTATGAGCTAAGTACTGGTCAACATATGATCTCCGAGTTGTACGTTAAGTTATTATCTATTACGAATGTGTGATTATTTCATAAAAAAAGTGACGCGTGATATGTTTTCGTACATCTTTAGCACCAGCTAACAGTGGCTTGAAGTGTTTGCAGTGCATTAGGTGTTATAGTTGCTTCAGATTTTGAGAAAACATTGTTCGTGGTAGCAACTGAAGTTCAAATAGCCCGTATAAAATGTTTTTTTTTTAACTTTTCTCACTGATGACAAATAAAATTACTGATATGAGTGGAGAAAATAAAATACTACAATGAATGATCTTCGAAAGACGATGATTTTTCTTCCACTATTGGCTCGATGAAGTTTATTTAAATGTGGTGTCAGCTCCACGGCGTTCAGAAGAGTTAGGAGTTGCTAAGCATAATATGAAAGCTGTTGCTTCTTGCACTAAAATATTTCCTAGTATGATAAGGTGTCCAGATTTACGAAATTAAGACTTTCAATACTCATTACGGTTCTTCAGCAATTTTGTTTTTATGCTGCGAGGCTAACGCTTGGCTACCCACATTATGACTACCTAAAGTCACGTAAATAGAATTCACCTGATAGATTTTCTACACTCAGGTTTACGGGGCAAGTAAATTACACCAAACGTCTACTCATGAGTTGGGACGTAGATGATCCGCTGGCTTGCGAAAACGTAGAAAAACGAGAAGGTAGAATGAGGTGTGTTTGTACCCAGAAGGTCTAAAACTACATCTCGTACGTTCTTAATCTAGCTCAGAGAGGAGCCCCGGCCGCCACACAAGTACCGAGCTCTCAAGGAAAGTTGAACACCTCGACGGAGCAACAGACTTCTTCGCAGTCGACCCAAGGAACAGGCAATGGAGCCATGCATGGCACACATGAAAGTGGTAAGCTTAATTTATTATTTCGCGTAGTATTAGTGGGTTAAAATCTTCAACCTAGTCATCAGCGTGTGCATGGGGGGGGGGGGGGGGGGGCAGAAGAGCGAGATGGCGGAGGGTGCAAAGCCTGCCGTGTTGAAACGAACCTGCGCTCACTAGGAAAGAGAACACTGCACAGGCTTGTAACAATAACGACATTTACAGGGTGTTTCAAGAAATGCGTCCAATATTCTTTGAAAATCACAGAAAGGGGTATCTGCGGGCTACTTGCAGCGTTGCCTTTCCTGTAGCAGAAGGCATCTTTGGATACGTACAAACAATAATTAGCGCAGTAAATATTGAAATTAACAAATTATTTTTTAACCAGTGGTGACAGCTGGTCAAGTCAAATGGCCTAATTCAAGCCCTTCCTACGAATTGTCCATAGCCACTTTAGGAATTCGGAACAGCGGCCACTGGTAATCACCACGCCGCGATGGGATGGGCCTAATTTAGCTGGATAAACCGAAACCGACGCACCAAACAGCACATCTACCATGCACTTCGGCAACACCCTCAGTGACGACACCGTTTTCTTTGCCGTTATCAGCTGTCAATTCAGACACTTCGCTTCGAAGCCGCTTATCAAAGCTCACTCACTCTTCTCCCCCAATGCCAGAGAAACAGCGCTATCATTGAGGGTGTTGTCAAAGTGAATGGTAGATGCGCTGCTTGGTGCGTCCGTTTCGGTTTCGCCAGCTGAATTGGCCAGGTTGCATCGCTTCGCCGTGGTTACCAGAGGCCACTTTTTTTCAAAATTTTAAAGTGACTATGGAATATTTGTAGGAACGGCTTGAATTTGTCCATTTGACTAGACCGGCTATTACTACGGGGTAAAAAGTCAATTTTGTTAATTTCTATATTTATTATTTGTACCCATCTAAAAATGTTTTCTGCCACAGGAAGGCAACGTCGCAGGCACACAGATACCTCCTTTCTGTAATTTTTAAAAAATAATGGACACATTCCTCGAAACGCCCTGTATATTTTCTATTAGAAAGGCAAAATATTTTAAAGAGATCGCTTACCTTAAAATGTGTTTAAAACAAAAACACGCAACAAATATACAGTTTTTTGTTGATTTATTGCGTTCTGCAAACGAGAAGACACAATATGGAAGGTGAAAAGTAATTGCTATTACTCATACAAATTATGTAGTGGAATAGTACAGTGTTCATTTCTAATGCGTCAAACGCCAAAGTCATCATGCAGTGTGAGGCACACCAAAGTGGGATTGCAAATTGTTTAGACCACGTGCCATTGGCCGTACAACCCAACACCTCCATTGTAGTAAACCATCCTTCCATTTCAACCAGGTGCAAGTCGGTCCACCCCGCAAGAGAATCAAACCACCATTCTCTAGTTTCACAACACTAGATCGCTTAATACAGAAAGGAGATATGTAATTGGTACTATTACATGCAACACCAGATTGCTAAATACATAAGATGATATGTCATTGATACTATTCCTTCTACCAAAACATTGTATTTTTGAATGCAAGAAACAAGATATTCTTACTCTTTCTTTTGGGTCTTTATGCAGCACGTCAGATAATTAACAGAACATTGAATAGGAATCGAAACTCTCTGTACCTAGGGCTTCAGCAACAGAATGGCCAGACGTCCGCTGTAACTCAGACTAGCAGCCCTACGGGAAATGGCGGGATTACAACAACTACAACGCAGACAAGCGTAGGTGGTGGAGCTGCCGTAACGCAAATCAATGGTGAGTTAACGTTGAAAAATTTATACAATTTGCAGCTCCAGCCGCCCATATAGAGAGACAGTACAAGAAAAGAGATCGTAACTGCTGCTGTTTATGTCATTATTATATTGCTTTTGCATATATATCAACCCGCTTGGCTGATTATTGCCGTCACCGTCATGTCCTGAATATATATATATATTGATACATAACAGCCGCTAAACACGGCTGCATGAAAGAGGAGGATGAAGTGAGTTTTCGTTTGATGCTGGTCTGGCGCCATCTTGCTCGCCGTGTTCTGTGCGCTGTAAATAGATCATTAAACAAGTTACTCGTAACAATATATATATATATATATATATATATATATATATATATATATATATGCAGAATTAGAGCTTCGGTTGCCACAAGGTTATAAGTATAAAAGCAGAGGTGCTTTCACTTAACAACTTGTTTATTCATCTGACGTTTCGAAGGGAGTCCCGTTTTTTTTGAGGCTTTATCATGCCTTGAAAAAGACGGGGCTCCTGTCGAAACATCGGCTGAATAAACAAGTTGTTATGTGAACGCACATCTGCTTTTACACTTGTATATATATATATATATATATATATATATATATATATATATATATATATATATATATATATATATATATATATATATATATATATATATATATATATATATATATATAACACTATTACTGGCTTTATGTGAGTGGTGGATTCAAAAGAAACATTCTTGCACAAAGCTCTCAATTCTTGCTTGCAGTTATGCAGCAGGAAACATTAGACAGCTTTTTTCCACCGGAAGGAAGATAGAACTAGTCCAACCCCGGGTGGTAGGTGGGAGCCATGTATCCAGGAAAATGCAAGCAAGCATCACCCAATCACCTTCCGGCATCGACACTCACGTCGAGTACAATCTGAGGTGGATGATTTGGTGAAATGCACTGGAACTGTACTTTTAGCTACCGTGACCAGCATGGTCGACGTCAACTGACGACAAGGAGGAAAACACTGGACAAACGCTGGCGAAGATTGTGTATGTAGTTCGCCTTTTGTGATGTCATCTCGTGTCGCATGAACACCTGGGGAACAGACCGAAAGGAATTCTAATCGCGCTGAAGCAAGGCGGGCTTGCCTACGAGCCCAGTACGCGTGAAAGAAAGGCAGCGCTCAACGCACATTCGATGGTGTTCACTTCATTTCGTATGGTTCCAAATAGCTTAGCCTTACTCAGTATAATGATCTGATTTGTTGCCAATGCATTCGTTGCTTCGGCCTTGTGCCGATATTGTGACATTTTTTCTATCTTTTCTATATTGTTGAGCATGCCTCTCAATAAAATGTCCAAAGAATGTTTTGTATACACTACAATTTGGTTTATTATGCTAGTGTAATATATTATGAATTTGATTTATTTAGAACTCCCCAAAGTTGCTGTCAAGATTTGCAGCTGCTCTCTCCAAGTGAAAATTGAGTGGTGTATCTCTATATAATATGAATCAATAATTCAAAGAAATCATTGTTAGGTACATAAATTGTTTTCGAAGCCATGGTATGAGGTAGCATAATGCGTAAACTGAATTGATAAGCCTGCTCTAGGTAATAGTCGTAACAGTATAGTATCTGTATTTCTCACGCTACACTTTGAAATACAACCTCTGCAGGCTGTAGACAGTGCCCTTTTATATCGTTTAAACCAGAAAAGTCAGTTTGCTTAAACTTAATTACTAAGAGCTATAAACACCTATCATCAGTGGAGTAGCCTGGCCAGCACCAAACATTTCATTCAGGGTAGAAAACTTCTCTAGAAAAGCAATAACGAATGGTCGTTTATAATATGTCTAGGCGTTAATACTTATATCAAAATAAAGAAGCAAGTCAACACGTAGTTGAACTATTTGAGATATTCATTCAAGTATGATAATAACGAAAACTGGATTATTCGCGCAGCTAAACTTAACTCGGTGCAAGTTCACGCCGAAGCAGATTTTTCTGAATTACGCTTGTAGTGCTATATGGTTAGAATGTTACTTATGGTTAGTGCAACATAAAACCCGAGTGAGCCCGTTTACCGGCAAGCGCGATGTTTTTCACTCAGACGACAGATACGGCAGAGTTAAGAATTATACCTTGTGAAAGAATTCAAGGCCGATTTCTACCCATAGTCAGAGTCAGATTGAATGAATAGAACCGATAGTTCTACTGTCTTCTCAGCTGCGATTATCACGCTGTGGCCCCACATTGCGGAGACTGTGTCGGAAAAATACAGCGCCATGTTTTGGTGCATCGAGTCAAAGTCTAGTCTTCATGGATGAGGCGAAACGTAAAGGAATCACGACGTGCTCCTGCGCGCATAAACGTGTGGATCTGAGGCCCCGTGGTGTAGCTTCCATATCGTCGAACTACATTTGTCGAGCGTGACAAAGTCACCTATATGCAACCACCAACACAAGAACGAAGACTGACCGAAGACAGAGGATGATGATTATTTCTCTTGAAAACGATTTCCACACAAAACGTAGCTTTGCACATGGTCTGCATCTCCCAAGCCGTTTATACTTTTATGGCACGCGTCTCTTGGTGGTTACTCCTTCAATGTGTATTCGTTCTTAACGCATGCTTCTTGAGCTTGGTTACTCTTTTCTTGGGTAACATTGCCTCAGATTGTAATCTCCAGAAAAGCCACGCTGAAGTTATTGAAATGACTAAGTGTAACCACTATAAGAACGAAAGGGTTGCCTTGCAGCTGTTTATTTGAGCATGTCCGGCATAAATAAATTCCCACGTGTATCACTCAGGACCATTATTGAAAAGCCACGCCTGGTCAAAACGACGGGGTTTGTAGCCTTAGATTGTCCGGGGCAGGACTGTTGAAATAGAGAAAATGCTCCCTATTGCAAGGTTCAACGTGCTGCAGAACTAGGAAGACGTCGGAGGTTGTGATCCGACCAGTATTTTGAAAAAAAAGCAGCCGACATGAAGAGAAAGACGTGGTCTATCCTACAGTCTTAAAAAAGAGGAAAATAGCCTTAACGAAGCTCAACACTGAGCCTTAAACAAGTTACCAAGCATTATTCGTTTAAGTCTCTCACATAATAGTCTACTATCAGTGTTATGCAGTGTTGTGTAGCCCTATGAAATATTTTTTTCATTTTCATATAGAATCGTCCAGAAAAATCAGTTTAGTGTCCGAGTTTGTAACCACATAAATCATCCTTTTAGGATGAGTACTATTCACCCAACACTCTTGTTACGCTCCGCTCCTTCAGGAAAACAAGAATCACAGCAACAAACCGGAGTCAACAGACAAGGTTCCAACAAAACGGAAAGTGTGGGATCATCGGCTGGAGAGCGAAAACCTCGCAGAGAACTTCTGCTACCGACTCTCAAAGTATTTAAGCGTAAACCAACTGGAAAAGGTGAGTGATACTTCTACCACTTATTGACGTTATTACCCGTGCTACAATTCTGCGCTTAGATAAAGTTGCGAAATGATAGTGGTAGTGCTAGAAAACGTTTAATAATCAATTTGCTTTGAGGAGTCGGAAAGGCGCACCATTCACAAACCTAAGAGATTGATCCCCAATTCAGAATTCCTGCAGCTCCCGCGGGGGACCGGGCTCCAGCCACCACTGCTTTCTGGGCTTGGAGTTGTGAGCGGCCGAGAAGGACAGGTTCCCAATCCTCTCGGTTAGGGTGAACGTGGAGTGCGTAGGTGGAGATGGAAGCAGTGCCCACGCCATATGGCTGATGTCACCAGACTTCGTCGCACATTTCGGGCACTTGCCCAAGAAGGCCCCATTGAAATGCTTTCGTATTGCCGGGCACAGTAGCGTAGTGAAGAAGTTCCTTTACACAATGAAGAGCACACGAAATTGTAACAATCACGTCATCTGTCGGTATTGTAGGCTTCGCACTCTTCAGAGCGAGAGAAAGGTGACTTATTAGAAGGCGAAAAAGTCTGTCTGAGCTAGTTCGCTATAGAATGCTTCTCTGCACAAGGAAAGAGGGACAGTGGAAAAAAAGAAGTGATGAAGGGTGACGATGGGAACAGAAACAAGTTATGCGTATGTACAGTAGCTGTGGCTTCCCTAAAGTCGAGTGTCCAGTCGTGCACTTTTTAGAAATCTATCATAGCCTCTATAGCAGTTCTTGATCGTGTCTCATTCCAAATTGCCGATAAAACGCCAGTTTCACTAAGCGTTGCCCCGCCGCGGTGGTTTAGTGGCTAAGGTACTCGGCTGCTGACCAGCAGGTCGCGAGTTTAAATCCCGGCTGCGGCGGCTGCATTTTTGATGGAGGTGGAAATGTTGTAGGCCCGTGTGCTCATGTTTGGTTGCACGTTAAAGAACCCCAGGTGGTCAAAATATCCGGAACTCTTCACTACAGCGTCCCTGATATTAATATGGTGGTTTTGTTACGTAAAACTTCACATATCAATAAATCAATCACTAAGCGTTGCCACATTTATTCCCGGGGTAACACATTTATTCAACTGTGTCTTAGACTGAGGATTGGTCTAGCTGCGACCGATCTTCAGTCTAATACACGGAGTCGTGGTATTAAAATGGCCATCAACACTTGAAACATGCTCACAGAACAAGTCGCAGTATGACGGTCTTGCCTCCTCATTAGCATATGTATAGCCACAAACTATATAGCAAAATGGGTAGCACAGGGAACATCTGCATTTTAGCTCAGACTCAAAAATGCGCGTGTGATAATATTTCAGTAAAAGAAAGTCAAAGAAAATACATGCAAACCTTAAGCTTTTTCAAACATGAAACTGTAGACTTTATACGTTCAATTAGTACACTACATCATATGCCAGCAACACTGCAGCATATGGAATACAAAAAAAGCCACAAATAAAAAATAAATAGTCCGCAGTGGTGACAAAAGAAACTTTTATGCCATGTAGTGAGAGTACTGGTCTAACACCATTCTGATTTTCTTTTTTGGTAGTGCAAACTGCCGGAGAAACAGGTAGCGCCGCAAGGCTCGAGATAAGTGGACCATGAGATATCTAATCCTCTTTCCTCAGTTATAGCAATGAACGACCGAATCTTATACGAATAACGGGCATTCAAATGGTGGCACTAAAATTATTTTTGAAAGTTTCATATTGGATGTCCCTCATGTGGGCATAAATGACAAATTGAGTAACGGAAACTGTCGAGAAAGTTTTATGGGCCCAATGTCCTTATCTATTTCTAGTATCGTCATCTTCGTAATGGAGTTGTGCAAACCAGACAAATTTAGCAGCACTAATAGGTATTTATTTTCTACCACATGCGCAACAAGCACCAGTGAAACAACCTTTTCATGCTCTAAGCTCGAGACGGCAACAAGAGAGTTATTTACTGCATCATTTTCGTCGATTCAATACCTTCAACGTCAATTCATTCCAGATCGCGATTGCAAAGTTGCAGCGCCTTTAGAGACCACTGGAGGATGTCGACGTCGGAAATGGTATTACGACAAAAAGACTGGTACCTGTCGTCCAAGCTGCAGCAAAATTGCACCGTTCTCGAACAAAATAGCCTGCGATGGAGTGTGCCGATCTCGTGAGAATCTTCTCTTTTGTTTGGAACAGCAACACGCACTCTTGAGCTCTACGCACTTAACGCCCACAGTTATGTGTCAAAAATGTTTCAGCAAAAAAAAAAGGAGTAGGTTATGGTGCTGAAGCTAGCTGCTCGTTGGTCCGTCTGGGCAACACAAGCCATTCTGCCGCTCTAACTATTTACTCCTAATTATAATACAGATAATTTTTTTCAGACAGCCGTTGAAACGCAGTAAATTAGATTCTACACAATAACGGGTAAACTTTTGCAATGTTCCCAATTATCCCTCTTGCTTTGACTCGCATAATCACTAAGACAATAGTGTTAGAAGATTATTTAAAAGAAATTGCGGCATTGGCATCGTTGGTTGTGACCGACATGCTAGTGCTGTCTGTGGGCGATGTTTCAACATAGATTCAATTAAAGCAAATAAAAGTACAATTAGAATTGAAATTTTCGGGCTTTGAGAAACTGAATTACTAACACAGCAGTGTTAGATCATTTCACAGAAATTGCGGCATCAGCATTGTTCGTTGTGAGCGTCGAGTCAGTGTTGTCCGTGGACGAAGTTTTAAGATAGATTCAAATAAAGCTAACAAAATATACGATTAGAATGAAAATGTAACGGACGACGTCTTCGTAGTAAGTAGGTGCTATACCACCATGTCTCACCAATGTTCCGAATCGCTGCAAAAACCAATATATGAGTGTTATGTGGTGCCAGGTGTGTCGTTATTGTATGTGATATTGCATAGAAGAAGCGTTTTGCCCTGAAAGTGAACGGTTTGCAACGCCTAAAGCTTTAGTAGAAGACGACGACTAAAGTCCGTGTGGCGCATGACGTCACATGCATCATAGCAAAATAGCGGCTACCAGCGGTGGAGGGCATTTACAGCCAACGATTTTCATGACTTCTTTTACAGTGATCTATTTCCATGGGCCACTTTTCAGATATTTAAATGCATAAAAAATTCTCAAACTCTACTTTTCACTGGAAACCACAGATTGCTGGTTGACCGTGTCGTGGCCCCTGAACATAGTGCAGTCTGAGCCACACTTGTGTTGAACAGTGGAGTGTGTGATTAAAATAGGCGCCATCTGCGGTTGCTATCTCGACTTAGTAGGTAAACAACATACAGCTGTTCATGCTCGAATTAGAGTAAAAAGACCTACCGTGAATTAGGACTATGGTTGGTATCATAAGGACGTGAATCCGCGGAAACATTTGCACTAATAACTGTGGCGGGAGTTATCAAGTGGCCGCTCCGCATTAATGCAGTTAAGGCTGTACAAGTGAATGTGTGAAAGTTTGGGAAAATCTCATCATTACAGTGGGTCTGCGACAGCCATTTGTCGAGCTTTCGTCTGAATTTCGCCCTCCGAAAAGTTTAGATACGCGTTGCCGTGCTTGCTGCATCGTGCCTAAGTTCGGCTGATTTTGCGAATGATTGCTTCATTTACTTCGCTTGGCTGCTCAAAGTACGTGCAGTTAAAGGGGCCCTCTAACACTTTTCTCGTCTTCATAGCTTCACATATGTTTCTAGCTGGTTGCATACACTGACGGCTTAAGACATAACTGCCGCCAGAACGGCAGCAATAGGGTCACGCAGTGCAAAGTTATTCAGCGTTTAGATATCAAAACACAATAAAATGGGTGCTTACCCTCATCTCAATTTTCGCGGGCTCACCTTACCGTGTTTCCCTCGCCCTTTGAAGTTTGAAGGCTGCCCAATGAAATGAACTCAAAGCCCAACCGTACAGAAAGCTCGCATGACATATTGCCTGTTACGTACAGCGTATTAAGAAAGCGGTTGCGATGGTAACAAACAATGTGGTACTTGAAGAGGGAACGACACGTGCGAAATTAACCAACTCGCGAAAGCTTCTATAATGTTTTGTAGCACTACTGATCTTTCGTTTTGCAATGACGTATACATATCAAGGGTCTTACATTTGTTTTTTTTTCTTTAGTTTCCTCAAATAATGGCACCCGGAGCGTCGCCGGTGCGTTTCGTCCAGCACATGGTGTTCCGCGCATTCTTTGACCAGCTTTGCAGTTTTGAAGCTAGAATAATCGAAGAGCTTTATTCTCCGTAGCTTTGAGTAAAAAATTATGCTAGCGAAAAGAAGAAATCCAGTACTAGTCCCGACTTTGATGCAATGCAGCGATGACAATTAACGTTACATTTACCCAATTATTGGGCAGCAACCTTCCGGTGTTATTTCTGCTCCCTGTAGTTCTGGCGAGCCCCACTACGAGTTATGCAGTCCGCACCAATGTTTTCAAGTGTTTGAGGGCCCCTTTAAGGCAGCCTCTATTATTATGAAACTTATGAAACAGTTCGTTTCGTAAAATAGACTACGTAAAGTAGCGTGAGGAAAGTGGAGGTGTGTTGCAATCAACTTGTCTACGTCTATGTTTGCCTTACGTAGTGTACTAAGCGTTATAGATAGCGTACTGGTAGGTAAATAGTCTAATAAACAAGGTATTTATGGTAGCAGGAGAAAAAACAATTTTGGTCTAAAGCGTGTTAGTATTGGTGTTGTAGCTGGCGAACGCCACTGCAATGCCAAAGTGACAAAGGAACGGTATTCACGCTTACAACGAAGTCTGACGGTCGCTTTCACTTCCACGGTAATAAGATAATAGTATGCAATGCTCTTCAAGATTATTGTACAAATATTAACAAATTGAGATGCTGCGCGTATGTTCTAGTGTATATCTGTGCATTTGCCTACACTGCGTACAAAAGACAACGATAAATGCATTTACTTATCTGCTCAATCAAAAAGTTGGGAATCTCCAACGCGCGGTGCACAGTAGAGTATCCACTTGTATATATGTAACAGAATAGAAGGTATGCCTAATGTTGTGATGTTGCAAAAAAGTACTATGACAGCTCAAGAAATCAAGAAAGTGGTTGTGTAACAAATATATTATGTAAATGTGCCTTGTATATCTCACCTGCAGTTAATATACCTTCAACACATTGCATAAAAGAGTGATCGACATAGAAGTCGGTTTTTAAATGTAAGTGTAAAAAAATTGTTAGGTCAGACCACTGAAACTAAAATCTGTTTTGAAACATTACCTTTCTAAATCAATGTTACAGTGAGCGTCAGTATCAGTATTTTCTTCATTATTTTCCTTACAGTGGAAGCTTGCGATTTCCCAATGGCAAGCATTCCTTGCTTCTTTCGTAGCGTCCACGTTGTATACGTTTACAATCAGTACAAGAAGAAATGCATGAGAAGATACGATTGTTCTTACTTCGGAAATAAGTTCCCAACACTCGGAGAGTGTCAAAGAACTTGTAAAAAGTATGAAGGTAAATTCATCCTTTTATATTACGTAGAGGCAGTTTTGTTTGGAGTGATTGCTGCCGATAATAGTAAAGCGAAGGCAACGCTTATGCATGGTGTGAATGGGGTGGCACAGTATTTTATAATTGCAGAGCCCTTGTAAGCAAACAGATGGAGCTCAGCGTTTCTATTTATCTATCTATCTATCTATCTATCTATCTATCTATCTATCTATCTATCTATCTATCTATCTATCTATCTATCTATCTATCTATCTATCTATCTATCTATCTATCGATCGATCGATCGATCCATTTTTACAGCTGCCTACTTCTGGGTGCTCTCAGTGGTGGCCTTAACTATAGTTAAACAACAAAATTTGTAAAGGAGGGAAAGGGGGGGTTGGAGGGTTGGACGAGTATATCTGGCAGGTCGTGACTCGAAAAATGTGAAAAACCCGCCGCGTACATCATCGAACCTTCCCTCAAGATGACTCCTCTAGCGCATACCCGTATACCACGGGCAGTGGTTCACGTGTATGCACCACTGGTGAATGACGTTTTACATTTTTGCAGGAAGGGCGCGAACAGATATTTGCATTATACTTGCGAGAGCGCTGAAAAAAAATACGCAAGCAGCGTTGATCCTACGATTGCACAAAACTCAATGGAAGGTTCCCAGCAGGAATCGAACCTCAGCATTCTGGGTGGCCCTTAGGCATTCTACCTCAGAGTGACGCCACGTCTGGGAACCGCTTGGGGGAAATACTCTGTGTCGGCGTAACTTTGATGACACATCAAAACACCTATGATACAGGCGCGATGTCAGGCTAGCGTCCATTGCAGTTAACACCCTTTCACTCAAGTTGGGCTACGTAACACTATTCTTGTGCTACCAGACTAACAAGAACAAGGGCCGGATAACAGCTCAGCGTTTCTTGTGTTATTAGTACCTATATGCATCTCTTATATCGGCTTCAGCCCGGTTCGTCACCCCTGCTGCTGCGCTTTTGCACCTGTATAAAACATAACATACGCGGGGGTATCTTACGTACAGTACGTGGACAATACATAGAATATGGGGGTGATGGCCAGTCCTATCGGGAGTGTCCGTGTAACTGCTATCGTAATGAACCTGCGGTAATGAATAACATATAGATGCAAATATTGTATATATATATAAGGGGGACAACAAACTCAGATGTTTTTGAAATATTGGTACGCGAATAACCTTGTGATTCTTGGACAGATGTGAAGTACTTTTTTGCCCACTTCCTTTATATTTCCGTATGCGTAATGGATTCAAGCATCTCTTTATCTCAACGCCAGTATTATTGTTGTTAATCATTTCTATTTTTGCGGAACATATCACACTAAAAAGTAACACACCGACTGTATGTTAAACGGAAAGATTGCCCAAAAAATTATTTCGAGTTTGTCAATAGCCCGAAATGTGTCGATGAAGCTAATTTGCCAGTAATCTGTCCACAGTTAATTTTATTTTGAAGAAAAGCTAAGTGAAATGGTGAAATTTTACACTGATGAAAATTTAGACTGACGAATTGTTCTGTGAACACTTATATACTGTTAACTTCGCTATTGGTGATTTTGTATTAAAAAGGAAAATGAATTTTACACATTAATTGGGTCAAAAAGTGTGCGTAAGTGTCTGCCTAATATCAGAATATCGGAGTTTCTTCCTCCCCATTCTGGCGCAACGAAATATTTATAGTCTTCGGTTGTTATATCTTTGGCCCCTTCAGATAATGTTGTACTTTATTTTTCCCTATAAAAAACTGTGCAGGCCTTAGTCAAAGCACACACAATTTATTACATCACTATGAACATATCAGCGTTTTCTATGTGTGTGGGGGGGGGGGGGGGAGTGTTACATGCAGTTCTTTGATGTTTTTTTTCGGTTTTAACCTTATGTCATGACAAGCGGTGTATTTCTGCAGCTCTGAGAGGACAGTATACTTCTGCGAGGCAAAAGACTTTTTTTTTTCAGTGGTGAAAGTTTACTCTGTGTTGTCGCATCTTCTATACTTGCATCTTGTTTATTCCATTTTCTGAGAGCAAAATGTTTACATCACAATCCCAGCGCTGCGTGAAGTCAAGAAAATCAATGAGAGCAGCGCCCAAGTTTTCACTAAGAGAGAAAAGATAATTTCAACTATGACCGAACAACAGAGAACACAGCAGTCAGTCGCATCATCCGTGCAAGGGTTCCTAGGTTCTGGAACAAGTCAGGGTAAGTGAAAACTTTGACATCAGTATAACCGACCCATCTTGCCAAAATTTGGAGTACGCGAGTGCCTGTACTGCGCACTGTAGTAAATGCCACTAGGTGATGGGGGACTTCTTTCTTCGTCTCGTAATTAGCACAACCTATCTCAATTACCACGCTGCCAGTTCATTTGGTGATTAATGTCCTCTGGCATTAAGCAGAGTTTGCTGGGTCTTCAAGCACTTCGACATATTGGTCAAGGACGTCGCGTACAAAGTAAACCACAGTTTCGGTCAACGTATGCTTTATGAAGTTTTATCTCATATGCAATTGTTGTTTTAAATATGCGGAAAAATGTTCAAGTCAATTACAAAATTTATAAGTGAATTTTGTTTCGCCTATTCAGTTCTCTAGTTATGATTTGGTGCTTCAAGGGGCAGATGCATGATATGCAGTTTAAAGCACATCATGGTGTTTGGCTACGCAATAATTTTGACCTCCGACCGTATTTCAACACGTTCATCTGTGAAAATACAATGACTCCATGGTCTGGTATTTTGCCGTTCGAAAACACATAGCTCTCGTTACTGAAAATCTAACCAACACCCTCGAGCTTAACAGCGCGTTACCACAGGCACGAACCTGCAAAGTGGTTACTCTCTGGTGCAGCGTTTTCACAAATATGTTTGTAAAGTCGTTGTCAAAAACATTTTAAATTATTCATTACTGTTTCTACGGCGTGTTTTTCGCCCGTGTTAAGAACAGCTCTTCAGCGGCTTAGACGTGATTGTTCTACATAAAATTGAACATTGTGGCACAGCGCAAGTATCCACGAGCTCTCCATCGGGCAGTGTCCAATCTTCCCAAACGGCAGGCCAGTCAGTGACGCAAGAACAAGCCGAATCAAGCTCTAGTGTTCATGTAAATGGTGAGTGGCCGTTATTTACCTTGTTCTATTTGTTTTTATTAAGGTTACCATAATTATCACTATTGATATTGTTTGAAAAAATTAATGTTGACGTAAAATAGCGGTATCATAGTAGTGAAAACCTACAAAGTAACGTGTGTATGTACAAATTCCTAAAGATATGAAGAACTAAATGCGTGTTTATTAGGAAAACCTGTACTCTTTCTCGTCGTTTTCAGCTATGTTTTTTTTCATTGTGCAGCTTTCGAGCTATAAATAAAACTTGGCAATCAACACTCGAAAAAAAATGATAAACTGATATATGTTACTACGTTGCCATATGCGGTCGACAGTTGTATGCTTATGGCGCAAATTGTGTATTGACTGGCATTGCAATAGTAGTTCTCTAACCAAATGAGCTCGAAGGTATTTCTCTCAAAATCAACGCGAACGGAAAGTACAGAGTCCTGGGCGAGTTTGCAAGTATTCTTAGCTAGGTACCGCGCAAAAGCAAAACAAAAAACGATATATAATGGGACACGTAAAAACACAGCAGATTATTATGTTGTGTGCCGTGTTTTGTACTCCTTACTTCGTATTATTGTTTTTTTTTTTCGCGCACCACTGCATAAAAACATGAAACCAGCGCTCAGTGTAATAATTAGTGTCCTGCACATAGTTTTATGCACAGGGACACAAAATTGCAAAGAATGACAGAAACATGTATTGTAATGAGAATAGCGTTCTGCCGTACCTAGCAAACCGCAAGGAGCAACGAGTACGGTTTATAAATATACTACTCTTAGTACTGGCTCAAAACGTCGCTCGTTTGTATATCTCTGTGCTTTGTCAACACAACCTTGTAACCGCTTTAAGTGAAAATAATGGAAAATTTCACATGAATATTGATCATGCGTCTGTAACTTCGAAACGTGAAAGAACACATTTATTGAATAGAATAATTTCCATTGGATACTGCGCACTTAACTTCTTCAAATTATGTGCACACCTTCAGTTACGCCCTAAAAAGAAATATCGTTCCTAGAGTTGTTGTCGGACCTGTGATTCTTCCTTCCAGAAAATTATCAAATAAATAGCTTAACGTGATGATTTTTTGGGAAAAACCACTTCAAGCATAATCCAGTTTAAATTCTCGCCGCGTAGGACACGAGAAATAAGAGGGATCATTTGTACTTTTGTCCCATACCACCCTATGCTTCTTTTTTTCATTCAGAGGTTGAATAAGTATCAGACGTAATATTACACCCTTTAGTATCACAAAGAAACTTAATTTTACTTATTTGATGAAATGAAGGGAAATAATGAAATACATGGGACGATACATACCCACAGAGGATGTTTCAGCTCATTTTATTTTTATTGTTAGTAAGGTTGGTCTATTTATGCGTGAATTCCATTCTCTTATATTGCAGGCACGAAAAATATCCATTTCGCTTATGTTTGGGTACCATAGCAAGTAAAGTTTCCGATTAGTGGTTGTGCTATTTTAACTATAATTTGTTCTTTTATTTCTTAACCTATGCTTTGTTTCACACACCCCACTACCTTCTCCGCTTTCTCTAGCATCTTAGCTTTCGGTGACCTTCTATGTTGTATCACTCTGAGGTTAAATCACATCTAGAGAGCACGAAAATAAAACGAGGACATGGTGGAAACAGACGAGCCCAAGCGCTAAAGGTATAGTTTGGCGCTTGGTCCCAACATTTTTTTTTCTGTTCTTGTTCTATCTTGTTTCGCTGATGATTACCTGTTAGTGCCTTACTGGTGCAAAGCAGCTTCCTTATGGCAGTGACAAACCAAAAGGAAGCGAAAAAGTGCTGCATCTGGCATCGTGAGGTAGACCATCGTAATGTATGGAGATCTAGAGTAAAAGAAGCAATATACCACAAGACAGTAAATAAGGATGTAAACAACCAGCATATTGCTGGCGTTGTTAACCTGTGTAAAGATTAGTTCGATAAGCTAAATGACCTAACCATTGCAATAATGCCTTATGCAAACGTGATGTCTGAGGCCGGGCTGCACTACCCACAAGGCCTGCTTGTCGTAAAATATTCCTTGTTCATGTCATTCTCTGGCGAAATGCTCCATTGTTCTTTACAGCGGCCGTCAGAAACAAAAAGAGAATTTATGAGTTTCTCATGCACTTTGTGTCATGCAGGAACATCACAGAATGGTCCGCAAAGCGTTTCATCAAGCATCTCTCAAGCTTCCGGTCAAACGAGCCAGTCTAACACGAATGTGGGCTCGTCAACTCCAGCAGTGTCATCAGGAGCAGGACAAGCGGATGGTACGAGTATATTAGGAAAGACCCTCCTTTCAACGTTCGAACTAGCTACACTACTCGTGAATGCAGTTATTAGGGTGACGACATGGAGCCAACAGGCAGAAAAAGAGTATATCACACTCGCCAGCATGGCCACTTGCGGTGCTGACTGACGCTCCCACGTTTAAAAGCACAAATATGCCACCTAAAGTGCTGGCTGATAGCTGTCGTTGTAGCTCAATTGGCAGAACATCAAGCGTGTCACTTGGAAATCGCAGGCATGATGCCTGACCACACGAAGTTATCTTTTTTGCTTACTTTTATTTCTTGACATTTACATTACATAATAAAATGCCCTATACACTCATGGCGGAGTTTTCTGGTAAATTTCTTTATTGTCGCGTTAAAAAGGAGATTCCTGAAAATTTCCACTTCTTTTCTTCGTGACCAGTGGTACGTAATGTAAAAGTATCGTAGTAAATGACACAAAAGTTCAGCAATGTTTGTATTAGACGCGAATAACTATATAAAAGTTTCCACAAAGTGCGCAATTTATGCTGTTCTGATTCCGCTATTTAAATATATCTTGGTCTCGAAAGTATAGTAAGTGAGATATTTCTGTAAGACAAATTCTTCTCTGCGCAGGTGCAGGTCAGCAGCAAAGCCCGACCGGCTCATTCAACATCTCTGAAAGCTCGAGCCACACGCAGAACAGCCATTCGACTGCGAGTAATAGGCATAGTTCTTCAATATCAGTTGGGTCTACTGGCTCAAGCCTAGTGACCAATGAAGTTGTTACAGGCAAGTCACATTTTTACTAATTTGTCTTTTCTGTTATGAACTGTAATTCTGTATCACTTTTTTATACTTGCTTTGTATAAAGTAAAAAAAACGAGTTGCCGTAGATAATTAGGTGGTTTACAGGGCCACAGGTAGTAAGAATAGTGAGCATGAAGGTTCTTTAATAATCAGAACAGTGTAAGAAGGAGAAGTGCGATCGAGTAAGTGAGAATATGTAATGATCGACCTGAATTAACCTGATCGGCCTGAATCAGCAATCTGACTAAGCTATGCTAAATACGGCAAGGAGGAATAGCGCGCAGCAATGAATCCAGTCGCGACAATATCACCAAACTTCTCCTTCATCGTGAGTTATACTTCAGAACAGCGTTTAATTGAAAGGGTTTTTTAACGAGGGGATGGTTAACAAAGTACTACCTAATAGTTAACAGTCACGCAGCTATACTGAACTCTACACTTACATTCGCATTGACGAACTATCGTAAACTAAGCACAACATATGCGCCTAGTATTCGTGGCTCCAGCTGAGCACTCGCCACCTAGCGGCCGTGCCTGAAAATGGCGCTAACAGGGTCGACTTTGAAAGGAGATACGTTGCCGCGTGGCACGCGTTGAGAAGCAGCCGCCTATATATAGTTCTTTTTAATTCCGCCGTGCCGCTCGGGTGAGTCCGAAAAGAAAGAGCAAGTGATGCCCGAAGACGAATGCAGTGTCCCGAAATTTCTGGCATCGTGGTGTAAAGATGTCAACATATCGTTCCGTCACTTCCCGAAGCATGCAGACGACGCGTGACGGAGAAGGGCTCAAATCGGAAACTTACGCATTCAAAATAATGTGGTGGTCACTAGGGTGACTTGTTCTAATCAATTCGGTCACGACAACTTAATTACCTTTCATGAGTACATCATTATTTACCGTCTGTACGTTCTTGTGAATATTCGGCTTTCTCTAAGCATGGCCTATAATTTCTAGCAAGCGCTATATAAAATTTGTTGCGCTACGTGTGTGACAATAAGTTCTGCATACTGCATATGTTTTTTTGTGTATGCAAGTCGTAGTGCTACCCATTCTCAAACTAGGCTGCTGCAATTTCTCCCCTGAATATTTTTATTTCGCAGGAGTATATATATACACGCACACAAACGCACGTGCGAATTTCACATGGGCGTATCTTGCACATAATATATATATATAAAGAAAAGAAGTGTACATTTAAAGGCTTGTTTTTCAGTGTTTTGCCACAATATTTATGAGATTTTAAAGATAATATTGCCAAGGAATGTATAGGGGAAGTAATTATACCATTTGAAATGTGAATATGCAGAAAGAAATGTGGGTGAAAAGATAACTTGCCTTGAGCAGGAACCAAACCTGCAACCTTCGAATAACGCGTTAGATGCTCTACCACTAAGCTACCACGACGGCGTTCACCCCAGCCACTTTATTGGGTTTATATAGGAATTTCAACGGATGAATGGATGAATTGATATGGCTGTACGCTTTAGATCGGGTGGTGGCTAACGCTGCGAAGCCGTAATACTTGATGAACTAAAAACTAGATTGATTTCTTTTTTTTTTAATAGTGAGGTTGAGGACTCGTGCTTTGCTGTGAATGGTTTAATTTTCACTCGTGCTTTGACTTTAGTCACCAATCAGATAACCTCCTTCTAGGTAATTCTACCCGCTTAAGGTGTCTTTTGCCCTCCATGTTTCTAAACCCCAGTGCTTTGAAAAACTCTGTGCCATCATCCTGAACTATAAGGTGAAGCCCTTTACAAAACATTATCAAGTGTTCGGCAGCTTCCTCTTCCTCTCCACACACACTGCATACCGGGTTTACCCCTTCGTATTTGGCCCGATATGTCTTGCTTCGCAATACTCCCGATCTGGTCTCAAACAGTAGAGAACTGTCCCGGGTATTATCATAGATCCTTTCCTTGGTAAATTGCTGCTTAAAAGTTCGATACATCTCTAGTGCGGACTTCTTAATCATACCGATTCTCCACATATGGGTCTCAGCTTCCTTCACCTTCTTCTTAACCGATAATTCTTTTTGGTGTGCCCCAATGCTGTTTTCTAAATATTTACTAGTCAATTTTCTGGTTCGCTTCCTCCATTTTGCATCAACATTATGTAAAAGTAAGTAGCTGAATACCTTCCTAGCTCAACACTCCTCCCCTATTTCTGACAATCGCTTCTCCAATTTTATCTTGCTGCTAGCTTCCCTCCCTCAAATGACGTCCATCCCATATCACCTTGTACTCCCTGATTTGGTGCATTCCCGTGAGCTCCTAAGGCACGCCTACCTATTCCACGTTGCTTAATTTCTAATCTTGCTTAAACTTCTGATCTCAAGCTCAAGACCATATTGCCGAATGTTAGACCAGCAACTATGACCCCTTTTCATATTCCTCTCACAACATCATACATATTGTAATTCCACAGGGCCTAGTTTTCACCACCGCTGCATTCCTGTTACCTTTATTCGTCACGTATATTTCGTGTTCTTTAGGTACTCGGTCCCATTGCTTATCCATACGCCCAGATATTTGTATTTATCTGTTATCTCTAGCGTGACCTCCTGTATTCTAAGCTCACTACCTTCATTATTATTAAAAATCATGACTGCTGAGTTTTCCTTACTCAATAGGAAATCAAACCTATCTCCCTCATTACCGTAGATGTCCATCAATTTCTGCAAATCTTCTTATTGTCGGCCATTAGCACTATATCATCTGCGTGCATCAATGATGGTAGTGCCTGTTAAATAAGTATTCCTTGTTTGAGGAAAGAGAGGCTGAAACCCAGTTCACTTCCTTCTAATTTTGCCTGTAATTCTTGTTAGTACATCATGAATAACAAGGGTGACAGAGGACACCCCTGCCAAAGGCCCCGTTTTACATCTGCAGGCTTGGGTACCTCTTTTTCTCACTTGTTAACTGCCTTGTTACCTTTAAAGATATCCTTTAAAAGATTAGTGACTCCATCTTCCACACCTTGTGTGCCCAGTATCCCCACAAGTCCTCTTGAACCACGCTATCGTACGCCCCCTTGATATCCAAAAATGCTAGCCACAGGGAATGAGTCACATTTCTGCTATTTTGGTGCACTGCGTCAGTAAGAACAGATTGTCTTGCAACTTCCTGTGTTTCCCAAACCCATTCTGCAGTTCCCCCAGCACCCCCTCATCCTATATCCATACCTGCAGTCTTTCCTTTATTAACTGCCTCACCAGTCTGTAGATCACTGATGCCACAGTTATAGGACGGAAGTTGTTTATGTCAGCTTTGTCCCCCTATCTTTTATAGATCATGCTCATCCTGCTAAGTTTCCATCCATCGGGGACTTCACCATCGATTATTATTTTGCTCATTGCCTCTCTCAAAGCCTGCTTAGACTTCGGACCTAATGTCTTTATCAACATAATTGGAATGCCATCTGAACCTGTTGATGTACTACTCGGAACACTTTTCTCAGCCCTGTCCCACTCACGTTGTGAAAAAGGAGCCATTGCACCACTTGGTTTGTCCTTGTCTATTGTGGTGCATAAAGCACTTTTTTGTTAAAATTTTTCTGTCACCCTTGTTATTATATATTCAATAGCTTCGTCCCCTTCTAGCCTAGCACCTTGGACTGTAGTTATAAACCTCTGCTCTAGGCTCGTCTCATTTCTTAGGGAGTTTGGATGGTTCCAAATTTCGCAGCTGCCTTTCTATCTTTTTTATGTACTTCTGCCAGCCACTGAGTTCCCTTTCTTCGAATCTTTTCGTTGATCAGAATGCATGCATCCTTTCTACAGCTTAGAAAGGTTTCCCTTGTTTTCAACATTATCTGTCGGTTTCCCCCACTGCTTAGCATGTCTGTGTTCCCTAGAGGCTTCCTGACATTTTGCTATGGCTCTCTTAACTGCCCCATCCCACCATCTCTTGGGTTTGTGCTTCTTTTCCGGGGTGACTTGTCACGGGCCTTAGCAAGCTCTCGCTCAAACAGTCTAATTAGATTCGTGTATGTCCACACTGTTTTGTTGTCCTCAGTGATTACTTTCTCAACTTGTTTAGTAGCTATTTCTATTTGTCTTTGTGGATAAAAATTTTCCTGTACTTGCTCATCTTGCCTAATTTCCACTTTCACTGCTCTTCCAAAACTTAGCTTGATACGTTTGTGATCACTACCCAGACGTCTGGAGCCACCTTCATCTATATGCATTCCCCTGAGCTTATCATACATCCTATGTGACATCAGGGCACAATCTATCGTCGACTGCAGCATTCCTACCACCAATGTTATTTGCCCTTCTCACATCTCGGTACTGTTCCAAACGATCAAATCATGCCTTTCACACATATTCATGATCAGTTTGCCTGTTGGGTCGGTATACCTATCTACATCTTCTATGTGCGCACTCATATCTCCCAGTATAATTATCTCGCACTCTCCTCCTAACTCCTCAATGTCCTTCGATATACACTCTACCATTCCCTGGTTTTCCCCTCTGGCCTTTGCTCCCGTCCACAAGTACACCAAACCAAGGAGTGCCATTTGCCCTGCCACTTTCCCTTTTAGCCATAAAAGTTCCTTGCACTCCTGCTTGACTTTTTGCCGGTCTGTACTTTTATGAATGAATGCCCCAATACCGCGCCCCTTTCTGCTGCATTCTGTTATATTACAATATTCCCACGTGGGAGTGTCATTCAGCGCCACCTGTACCTTGGAGGTGAGTGTGGGACACTCTTAATGAGCTTGTTTGGTGTCACACAGCACATGAACTCATTACGAGCTGGCAGCAGACTAATAGTCCCTCATATACAAGCTACCGGCACCAAGCCTGCCAGTACGAGACCCTTGTTATTGACTAGGGGAAAGAACTGTATACTTAAGGGCTCGTTTTCCGTGTTTTGACACAACATTATTGAGATATAACAGACAATAATGCCAAGGAATGTATAGGGGAAGTTATTAGACCAATTGTAATGTAAATATGAAGAAAGAAAAGTGGGTGAAAAGATAACTTGCCGTGAGCGGGAACCGAACCTGCGACCTTTATATATATATATATATATATATATAAAGGTCGCAGGTTCGCACACATGGTCTATATATATATATATATATATATATATATATATATATATATATATATATATATATATATAGACCATGTGTGCGTAATGTGCGTCCAGTTGTCTCATTGGACATCAACTACTGTTGTTAACCCAAGCGAGCTAGTGTTCTCACGAAAACCGCCTTTGAAAGCACGTGTCCTTGTTTATTAGAAACGTAAGAACATGGATCGGCAAACAAAAAGAAACGATAAATCCTGCCACAAAAGAAACTATGGTTTGCCTTACCTCGAGATACACTGGCCAAGGTATACCTCAGAATTGTAATAAGGTAAATGACATGCATATTCAACTTTTGATGCAACAACAGAAATCTATCAGATATATATGCAATCAGCAGCTCTAGACACACCGTAGTTACCTCAAAAGCATTTAGGATCTTGTCTGTAGCACTGCATCAACGCAGCGCTCCAGCTTTAAGAGAGGCACTTTACACACGAGCTGTTGTCTTTTTCAACCTCGGGCTCGCTAGACAGATTCATCAACTTGAAAACTGATGTGGTACGCCGGACGGCTCGATGAACCTAATACAGACTTTCTCTCTGGAACGTCCTTTCGGCAAGGTCACTAAGATAGGAAAATGGTCACTGTGATGCTTCAGTGGCAAGAATATCATTTTAGTTGCTTGCTACAAAAATGGTGCCATAAAAGCAGAAAGTATTTTGCTTACAATATAATCATCTAGTGGCAACTAACATGACAGCACAGAGTCCCAAAAGCAACATAGTGTTTTTATCAGCATGGAAAATGCCGATTGACTTGTTAATATAGCACGCCTCAGATTATGAAGAGAGCTATAGAATATATTTCGCTGGAGACGTTCACAGGTTTTGAAGGAACATTCAGGAATTGATGGTGGTGGTTCTTTAAATTATAGTTTAAATGAATACCTAGGTGCCATGACTTTGAAGCCAAAATAGTTAGTCAGGTAAATGGATCTTATAAATTTCAGTTTTCACCACGTGCAAGTGACCATTGGCACCTATACTGTGAGATCTGAACAGCTAGAAAATTAGGCTTTGAAATATCGAGAAGATGTTACGTCTCCACAATTTTTATTCGTTGTCGAACTTATACCTGTGATGAGCCCAATACTTCGGAATATAATTAGCCCACACTAAATTCAGCTATTTACATAAAAAAAGAACTAGCAAGAACTCGATGTGAACCATCGCATTCATGTGATATTCTTGGCTGGATTCCTGGTGACACTTTTGAGTTTTGCCAAAAGCCTTTCTGCTGCCTTTCTGTATCTGAAAGAAGGTGATGGTGAACGGGACGCTAATCTCTTTTTAAAACAAAGCGCTGGAAAAGTCACTAATTGAACAAGTTTTGGCAGAGTGCAAAACGTCAAGAGGACAAACTACAGGAAACAGTCAACACAAAGCAACGTAACTTTGTTGTGTAGCATCTGCGTTCTGTGTAATGTTCGTTTTTCATAGCTCTCCACGTGGCTCACGCTTCTAACTTCGCTACAATATGCGATCGTGTCAATTCAGAAGCCCTCGGGGTAGTAAAACGCTTATATCGCAGCTTTCTGCAAAATCGCACATTGCGTGTTCCAGAAAGCAAAGCTTTGAAACGCAAGAACAATTTTTAACACTGCCAACTGATTCACTGAAAAGTTTTATCTTCCATACCAGGCCAGAAGCGGCCATGGTATCTTCTTTTCTAATATATCAGAACTGGCAGTGCTAAGTAATCAATTTTAATGAAGTTTGGTTGCAGTAGTAAGTGAGGTCTTTGTTTTGCGGTAGTGCTACATTAACTATAATTTGTTGCTTATTCCTTATTCTATGCTTTATTGCACCTCCCTCCCCCCTTCTTCGCTTTCTCTAGCACCTTACTTCCCCGTGAGTTTTAATAGGTTATTGCTCTTAGGCTAAATCACATCTAGAGAGCACGAAAATAAAACGAGGACACCGGGGAAACAGGCGGGACCAATCACCAATCTTATAGTTTGGCGCTTGGTTCCATCTGTTCTTTTTTCTCAGTTTTTTTTTTCTTTCTTGTTTCGGCGATAATTACCTGTTAGTGCCCTTACTGGTGCAAAACACCATACTTACGGCTGTTACAAACCCAGAGGAAGAGAAGGAATGCTGCATTTGGCATCGTGAGGTATATCGTCGTAATGTATGAGTATATAGAATTAAAAAAGAAAAATAGCAAAAAACAGTAAATAAAGATGTAAACAACCAGCACATTGCTGGCATTGTTAACCAGTGTAAATATTAGTTCGACAAGCTAAGTGACCTAACCATTGCAGTAATGCCTTATGCAAACGTGATGCCTGAGGCCGAGCTGCACGACCCACAAGGCCTGCTGGTTGTGAAATATTCCTTGTATTTGTTCATGTCAATCTCGCGCAAAATGCTTCATTGTTAATCATTGCTGCCACCGGGAAAAAAAGGAAATGTAAGAGTTTCTCATGCACTTTGTGTTATGCAGGAACATCACCAAACGGTGCGCAAAGCGTTTCATCAAGCAGCTCTCAAGCTTCCGGTCAAACGAGCCAGTCTGACACGAATGCAGGCTCGTCAACTACACGAGTGTCATCAGGAGCAGGGCAAGCGGGTGGTATAAATATATTAGGTGAGACCCTTCTTTCAACGCTTGAACAAGCTACATTACTCGTGAATGCAGTTATTAGGGTGACGACGTGGCGCCAACAGGCAGAAAGAGTAGATCACACTCGCCGACATGGCTACTTGCGGCGCTGACGGACGCTCCCACGTATAAAATCGCATGTATGCCAGATAAAGTGACGGCTGATAGTCGTCGCGATAGCTCAGTAGACAGAACATCAGGCGTGTTATTTGGAAATCACAGGCTTGATTCCTGAGCAGAGGAAGTTACCTTTTTGCTTACTTTTATTTCTTCACATATCATTACAAAATAACATGCCCTATACGTTTCATGTCAGTGTTTTCTGTTAATTCTCATAAGGATTGCGTTAAAAAGATGACTCCTGAAAATTTCATCGTCTTTTCTTCATGACACGGGGTACGCAATGTAAGAATATCGTAGTAAATTACACAAAAGTTCAGCAATGTTCGTATTAGACGCGCATAATTACATAAAATTTCCACAAAGTGCACCATTCATGCTGTCTTCATTGCATTATTTAAATATATCTCGGTCTCGCAAGTATAGTAAGCGAGAACTTTTTGTGAGACAAATTCTTCTCTTCGAAGGCGCAGGTCAGCAGCAAACCGCGATTGGCTCAGTCCATATCTATGAAAGCTCGAGCAACACGCAGAACAGTCAATCGTCTGCCAGTCATGGACAGATTTCTTCGATATTGGTTGGGTCTACTGGCTCAGGCCTAGTAACCAATGAAGTTGTTCCAGGCAAGTCACATTTTTAACATTTTGTCTGTACTGTTATCAACTGTAATTTTGTATCAATATTTTTTATACTTGCTTTGTATAAAGTAAAAAAAAAACGGGTAGCCGTAGATTATTAGGTGGTTTACAGGCCCAGAGGTAGTAAGAATAGTGAGCATGAAGGTTCTTTAATAATCAGAACAGTGTAAGAAGGAGAAGTGCAGATCGAGTAAGTCAGAATATGTAATGATCGACGTAATTCCTGATCGGCCTAAACCAGCAATCTGACTAAGCTGTGCTAAATACGGCAAGGAGGAATCGAGCGCAGCAATGAATCCAGTCGCGAAAATATCACCCAACTTCACCTTCATCGTGAGTTATACTTCAGAACAGCTGTTTAATGAAGAGGTTTGTAAACGAGGGGATGGTTAACAGTTTACTAGTTAACAGTTACACACACAGCTATACTGAACCCTGCACTTGCATTCGCATTGCCGAACTATCCTAAACTAAGCACAACATATGCGTCTAGTATTCGTGACTGCAGCTGAGCACTCGCAACCTAGCGGCCGTGCCTGAAAATGGCGCTAACAGGGTCGACATTGAAAGGAGATATGTTGCCGCGTGGCACGCGTTGAGAAACAGCCACCTATATATACTTCTTTTAATTCCACCGTGCCGCTCGGGTGAATCCGAAAAGAAAAAGCAAGCGATGCCCGAAGACGAATGCAGTGTGGCGAAATTTGTGGCATCGTGGTGTAAAGATGGACACATATCGTTCCGTCACTTCCAGAAGCATTGAGAAGGGTTCAAATCGAAATCTTACGCATTCAAAAGAATGTGGTGGTCACTAGGGTGATTTGTTCTAATCGATTCGGTTGTGACGACGTAATTACTTTCCGAGAGTACATCATTATTTACCGTCTGTGCGTTTTTGTGAATGTTCTAAGCATGGCGTGTAATTTCTAACAAGCGCTATATGAAATTTGTTGCGTTACGTGTGTAACAGTAAGGTCTGCATGGTGCATATGTTTTTTTGTGCAAGTCGTAGCGCTACCCATTCTAAAACTAGGCTGCTGCAGTTTCTATTCTGAATATTCTTATTTCGCAGGTATACACCCACCCAAACGCACGCGCGAAGTTCACGCGTGCGTATCGTGCATAATATATATATATATATATATATATATATATATATATATATATATTGCCACCTACTTCTAGTAGTGGGTCGTATGGCAAGGGGAAGGCTCACACCACGAAGAAGAAAGAAGTGCGCATGGACCCCCGCTCTAGCAAACAAGCCCAACCAACGCGCTTGGTTAGAGCCCTGTTGCTCGGACATCAATAGACCTTGTCGACATCCCCTGGAGCGACGTGACAATTGGTGGAGGTGCTGGGTAGCCCCTCACGGATGTTTCAGACCCCTCCTGGAAGCAGCACCACAAGCCCAGTGCGAGTCCACACTCCCGTTCATCGGACAAGCCGCAGGATCAGGGGATTGCCACCCGAAGCTGACCCTACAGTTCACACCAGTATGATGAGCACGTCCGTTCAAACCACTTTAACAGGAACGGGAAACCCCCCGCTGACTCGGTACACCCTCGAAAGTCCACAGGTTCCGACACCGTTTCATGGCACCGAGCTCGAAGACGTCGAGGACTGGTTGGTCGACTTCGAACGCGTGGCTGCTTTAACGACTGGAACGACGCGGCCAAACTACGGCGTGTGTACTTCTATTTGGAGGATGGAGCACGTACCTGGTACATGAATCACGAGGAACAGATGACATCGTGGCCCGAATTCCGCCGCCGGCTGTTGGACACTTACAGAAGTGCTGATCGCCACGAACGAGCGGAGCGAGCGATCCAGGCCCGCGTCCAGATGCCCAACGAAACTGTCATGACCTATGTGGAAGATATGACGCGCCTGTTCCGACGGGCTGATCCAGGTATGACAGAAGAAAAGAAGTTGCGTCACCTGATGCGGGGAGTTAAGGAGCAGCTTTTTGCTGGCCTTGTACGGAGCCCTCCGAGCACGGTCACCGAGTTTTTGTCTGAAGCCGTCACGATGGAAAAGATGCTTCAGCATCGATCCACCCTGTATGACCGGCAAGTGAGCACGTCCACTGCTCAAGTTCTAAGGACTTTTAAGAACAACACCGAGTGTCTGCGTGACCTTATCCGCTCTATAGTACGCGAGGAGCTGCAAAAGGCTGCCACACCACCACTACCTACGGTGAGTTCTATTGCAAGTATCGTCAAGGACGAGCTGCATCATGCCCTGCGTGACCCTGTAATTCTGGATAACGCCACAGCGGCCCTGGCTGACTACCACCGTGCGACTTATGCGGAAGCCTTGAAGCGCCCAGCTTCCTCTTCCCCGCTGTTTGTTCAGGCACCTCCTACAGTTTCACTTCAGTCGGCGCAGCCTCTACGGTACTACGAGAACACACGCGCGCCCCCACCCCTCGTTTACGCCAACCCTGTGCATCGTGCGGAACAACCAGCGCACTACCTTGACGACAGACGTGCTTCGCCTCAGAAATCTGATGTTTGGCGCACTCCTGATCGCCGGCCTTTGTGCTTCCACTGCGGTGAAGCGGACCATTTGTAGCGCCAGTGTCCATACCGGCGCCTCGGGCTGCGCGGCTTTTCAGTATATTCAGCGCCTCCTCGGTATGGCCAGCGACCCCGGGACATTGAGGATTACCTGGCTCAACAGCGCATGCTAGCGCCTTCTGGACGGCAGCCGCGCTCACCGTCGCCGAGGCGCTTTTCATCTTCGCCACAGCGCCATGCTGGCGCACAGCCCCCCAGTTCCCGCCGGGAAAACTAACGCAAGCGACCCTTGGAGGCGAGGTCGCTGGCAGTCGACGTGCTGAAGACCTCCGATCAACGCTAACAGTAAAGGGTGTGGATTCGACTGAGCGATATGTGCGGCTTTCTCTGGATATACCGGTGCTGATAGACGGCTATGCAGTAGGTGCTTTAGTTGATACCGGGGCTGACTATTCTATACTAAGCGGGAAAATGACCAGACTACTAAAGAAGGTAATCACGCCCTGGCATGGCTCTGTGATTCGAACAGCTGGTGGCCACACCGTCTCTCCGCTTGGAACCTGCCCGAGCAGAGTTCGGGTCTGCGGCTATACTTTTGTAGCAAGTTTCCTTGTGCTCCGTGAATGTTCTCGCGACGTTATTCTTGGTGTTGACTTCCTGCAGGAGTATGGCGCTGTCATTGACCTTCAAGAGAATCGCATCACCTTCTCAGCCGACCGAGCAATCGACAAGCAGGACGACCAACAACGTGCCGACAATCTTCGTGTTTCTGCTGAAAGTGTAACGCTTCCTCCAAGAGCCAGTGTTATTGTCGACGTCACATGCTGTGGATTGCAAAATGGTGAAGCGATTGCACAAAGTAATTTTGAACACCTGCTGACTCAAGGTGTTTGTGTGGCTAGGAGTATCATACAGCTACGTGATGGCCGATCTCAACTGCTCGTTACAAATTTCAGCAACGAACACCGACACCTTTTCCGTGGCACTTCGTTAGCGTTTGCAGATGACTTAGGTACCGTTCTCATCTGCTTCTAGTCGGACGCAGTGGAGGCCGCCGATACGTCTCTAAACAATATCGATATTAACTCTAACCTCACACCAGAAAACCAGACAGCACTGCGAAAACTCTTGCTTGAATTCAAGTCATGCTTCGCTGCTTCCTCTAAGGTGCGCCAGACTTCGATCACTAGGCACAGAATCATCACCTACGACGACGCCCGCCCAGTACACCAACAGCCTTACCATGTGTCAGCGAAGAAACGAGAAGCCATTCGTACGCAAGTTCGAGAAATGCTTGACGACGGCATCATCGAGCCTTCCAACAGTGCGTGGTCCTCTCCGGTCATCCTAGTCAAGAAGAAAGACGGAACGCTACGTTTTTGCGTCGATTACCGGAAGCTGAACAGCGTGACTAAAAAGGACGTGTACCCGCTGCCACGCATCGACGACTCGTTAGACAGATTACGCCGCGCCCACTATTTTTTCTCCTTGGATTTAAAAAGCGGGTACTGGCAGATCGAGGTTGACGAGCGAGATCGCGAGAAAACGGCCTTTGTTACCCCTGATGGCCTGTATGAATTTCGAGTCCTTCCCTTTGGTTTGTGCTCAGCGCCCGCAACCTTCCAGCGAATGATGGACACGGTGCTTACTGGTCTGAAGTGGCAAACTTGTCTCGTATA